AAAGATCATAATATAATCCTAAATTATGAAGATAATCTTAATATTTTTGTGTCTATTTTTTTACCACACAACCTTGACTCTTTTAGGTTAAAATATACTAATCACATATCAATAGCACTAGTCGCGTAGGCAGGCTTTTGTCATGAAGGGGTTCATAGAGGGGGGGGGGGGTGTCGAAAGGATTGTAAACTTAAAGCGTTACATTAGACCAGGGGTCTCCAAACTTATCAGCCAGAGGGCCGCATTAACTATCAAATATCAGATCAGGGGGCCAGAGTTTCTTCAAGACATCTCTTCAAGGTGGTAGCGCCCCCCCCCCCCCCCCCGGAGAACGAGTACCGCCCCCATCCCCTTAACGAAATATGGTTTATATAGAAATATATAAAAATTTCAAGTGTCGTTCCCCCCCCCCCCCCCCCCCCCGCGGGAGAAAAAAGTCTGAAAGAAACACTGTCAGTGGCAAACACCACACTCGAGGTCCAAGTTTGCTCTCACATTCTTCTTCACGTATTTCAATCTTGAAACTATTTGCTCCCACAGGTATCTTGTTCCAAAATTTGAAAGGTACTTTGATGATAAAGTTTTAATATTAGGAAAATCTTCCTTTTGCAAAAACTTATACAAACCCACCCGCCATTCTTTGAACGTGTCTCTAATGACCTCCAGCTGCAGTTCATCTTTGCAACTGGCTACGTTTGCTTCAAATGGGTTCTGAAACAGTCTTTTTTTCTGCCTTTGAATCCAAGTCAGAAAACCGCTACTGAAACTGCAGCTTGAAGTCTTTGATGATCTCGTATGCAAATGACGTGGGGAACTCAGTGGTTGCTTCAGCCGTAAAAACCTTGCACTACTGAGAGTGCGTCAAGTTGTTGGCTTGTACTTGTTCCAAAAACATGACAAGTTTGGATCTGGAGGCCTTTAGGTGGGTGTATAGATCAGAAACTAAATTTCCATCTCTTGAAGTTTTAGGTTCAGAAAATTTAATTTAAATGACTAGTTATGTTTGCAGCAGAGGCCAATTTCTATACCTACTCTTCATCAAACAGTAAGTGCATCAGCTTGTGGTTTGCCTTTACTTTCAAGGAAGTCACCTATTTCCTTTCTTAACTTAAATACTCTGCTCAGAAAAATTTCTTGCAAATTAGCCATCTTACTGCTGTGAAATATGGTAAATCTTGCGATTCTGTGTTTCTATCTTTTAACATGTCTCTGAACTATCTATATTCTCTCCGGTGCCATATATTCTTGGTAGGGAAGCCAGCTCTTGTGTTATGTTTATGTCTTCATCCACACCTCTAATGAACATAAGCAGTTGAGATGTGGAACAGCTGTCCAGCAACTGATCCATTACAATGTAAAAATTTCGAAACTTGCTTGCATTTTTCGCTATTTGAGTCACGATGTTTTCACCAATGTCTGCAACACGGCGAGCAATGGTATTTGCACCCAAAGCTGTATTTTCAAATTGTTTTTAATTTTCTGGGCATAGTTTCTCAGCCACCACTAACAAACATTTATTCCGTGGACTAAAAGATCGCCGCGGGCCGGATGAGAGGACCTCGCGGGCCGTATCTGGCCCGCGAGCCGGAGTTTGGAGACCCCTGCATTAGACAAATTCCATTTTTTTGTGGGGGGGAGGGCCTACTTATTTTCAGTGTATTTAAAAGTTTATTATTATTATAAAGTTGTTTTTTTTTACATTAGTTTTATTTTTCAATTTTTCAGTAGATTGTAATCTATAAAAAAAAAAAAACCCCAGTAATCTACCCCTTCTTAGTTTGTGGTTGAAGCTAGGGGGAAAAATCACCTAAAAGTGAAAAAAAAAACAGTTCACCGTCGTCGAATAGATGATCAATCAATCGTTACTATTTAATTGTGTTATCTCCTGTTTTTTAGCAATCTTTTTATCTAATTTTTATGACTAATCTTATGTCTGATTCTATTTTTAAAAAGAGGAATCTTGCATTGTTATCGGAGGTAAGCATAACTGGAAAGTTGTGAACGAAATCGTTGCATTAGAAGTGGGTTTAAAATAAAATAAAGTTACAAGATTAGCCACAAAACCATCAACAGATATTGTGAACAAAATAAAAGCTTATAATAAAATTAGAAGTATATTCCTTTCCCAAATGTAAACATTGTAAATAAATATAAGTGTATTTTTCCTTCTTTTTTTGTGACAGACATACTTCGTAAACAAGCTGGTGAATTTTTCCTTCCCTTTTGTGAAAATAACTGAAATAGGCATATTTTGTCAACAAACAATGGTGAATTTTTCCTCCTCTTTTGTGAGATGCTTTGTAAACAAAGATGTATTCGTCGAGTTATATTTATAGGTCAATGACGTCCAAGTATTGCAGGTCGGGATATTTATATTCCACTTGTTTGTGAGTTGGTTTATTCTGGGATGGATGAGGAACAAACCAAAAACAACTAAAAACGTGCGGAAATTGTGGTCAGTTTGGACGTAGTAAGACTGTGAGGAGAGAGTGATATTGTGTGGGGGGTGTGGGGGTTAGGGTTGATGTTTTGGGAGATGGTGAGGCAAGTAGAGATATTTGATTGGCTTGTTTGGCCAGTATAATCATTGGTGGGATTGGGGAATAATTGCAAGTACATATATAATAATGGTGGCGATTTTGCTGAAATACTTCGCTGTTTTTTTCGACCGTCATTTTCCTGGGTTTTACTTTACCTAAACCAAAGAAAATAGAATAAAAATCTTTACGAAAATACAATCGTATACCTTTTATTTATCTTACTAGGCTAACGATCAATAGCATAAGCAATGCAATAATGCTGCCACCCACTATACAATCTATTTCTATATATTGGCTTTTCAAACTATTGCTTACCTAGTGGATATATTTACTAAACAAAAATACTGCCTAAATATTGGCAATATATTTCATCAATAATACAAACTATTGATCTCACGTTGGCTATACAGACCAACCACTATACAAATACAATATTGCCCACATAGTGGCAATATATTCCACAGACTAAACAAACTATTGCCTACATATTGACTGTACAGTCCAGCTACTATACAAATTATTGCCTACATACTCGCAATATATTCCATCAACTATATAAACTATTACCAATATACAAACTGATACCTAGTATCGATTCATACCATACAACGCTACCAGAAATTCTGCTAGAGCATATGTGTCTAGACATCTAATACACGGGTAAACTATGTGCTCTAAACCAAACCCATATAGTGCTTAAACCAAACCCCATATAGTGCTCTAAACCAAACCCCATATAGTGCTCTAAACCCAAACCCCATATAGTGCTCTAAACCAAACCCCATATTATAGTGCTCTAAACCAAACCACATATAGTGCTCTAAACCAAACCCCATATTATAGTGCTCTAAACCAAACCACATATAGTGCTCTAAACCAAACCCCATATAGTGCTCTAAACCAAACCCCATATTATAGTGCTCTAAACCAAACCCCATATAGTGCTCTAAACCAAACCCCATATAGTGCTCTAAACCAAACCCTATATAGTGCTCTAAACCAAACCATATATAGTGCTCTAAACCAAACTACATATAGTGCTCTAAACAATGCTGTATAAACCAAACCACATATAGTGCTTTAAACCAAACCACATATAGTGTTCTAAACCAAACCACATATAGTCCTCTAAACAAACCACATATAGTGCTCTAAACCAAAACCCATATATTGCTCTAAACCAAACTACATATAGTGCTCTAAACAATGCTCTTTAAACCAAACCACATATAGTGCTTTAAACTAAACCACATATAGTGCTTTAAACTAAACCACATATCGTGCTTTAAAAAAAATCCCATATCTAAATTTCCTTTTATCATGTTGGATCAAAAACACATATAATTCAACATTCTAACGTTACAGACGGATAGCCAACTAACTAGGTGTGGATTTGTTCCAATTTAAAATCCAGTTGGACTAAAATTCTAACAAATAGCGTTTCGCTTTTGGTATTCAATTATAAAAATACAGATTGTAATACATAATAATGATTTACAACGTTTAAAAAAATAGGATAGAGCTTACTCCATTAGTAAATGGTGTATTGACTATTCTAGTTTAGGCGAAATTATGTAAACGTGAGTTACACATTCAGCCATGAAGGATGAGGCGATGTGAAGCGATTCTCATTCTTAAGGGAAGACGATGGTTCTCAAGTTGTATATAGCAACGCCTAGATAAAATAGCAACAGCCTTCAAGTCTGAAGTCACACGTATGCCTTGGAGGGTCTTCAAGTGTGTTGTAAGTCAACACACTGCTAGGTTCAACATGGATTATCGTAGGAGATTTTAGTTATTGCGTAGTTCGGTAGTTAAGATTATCTTTCTTGATTCCCGTATATAACAAAGAATCGGATATATATATATATATATATATATATATATATATATATATATATATATAGTAAGTTTTTGTGGCAGTCTCCATCATACCTCTGACTTTACTTCCCAAATAGATGAATTCCACCACTTCCTCTATTACTATTATTTTATTTTATTTTTTTTTGTTTTGTCTTCTGGCCTTAGTGGGTCTTTGACTTTGGCTTACATTTTCAAGACTTTACTTTTTCCGGTGTTGATCTTAAGGCTATCGTTGCAGCATACTATGCAAAGGCTGTTTATTTTTTGTGTAAGTTTAGGTGACTGCTAGTTAACAAACTCAAATCATCGGACCATTCCTCAAGGATGGAAGTACGTGTCTATTGTATGCTTTGACTTTCACATTCCAAAGTTTTGTGCAAAACCCATACATATTAAGGCTGAATATCATAAGTGATCGAATACGTGCCTGCCCCACACTGTGTTTGACTTGCCAATTGTCAGAAAGTTTGTTTATGTGTGGCCACGGTTTCCAGAACTTAGAACCTCTGTTGCCATGAACTTTAACCCCAAATTGAAACTACAAATAATTACTCACAAAGTAATCACACCCATATTTTTTTCAGTTAGTCTATCAGAATGGTTTTAACACATTCATCTGTTTCCAACGAGTTGTTATGTATTTTAAAACCGAAGAGGAACTTAAATTTACTGTGTTAAACATATACTTATATTTTTGTCAATTTATCTGTAGTTGGGCAGGCTCGAATTTCATGCATTCTTGATACAATAACAAACACTTGAACTGCAAACGATGGATACGATAAAATGTATTTTATTCTTCATGTGCGTGCTACCTCAAGTAGCTTCAGCGAATCCTGGTAGGCAACATTGTATATTCGTAACAAAGAAGTTGATCAAAAAGATTTGATAGTTCATAGATTGGTTAATAGATCAGATATTTTTAGAAGTTCAATACAAGAGGCTAATAAGTTTTAGGCGCACTTATAGTTTTGAATATACGTTAAAAATTCTCATATTTAACAATTTTTATTTTAATCTTGTAGATAACCTGTCGTTATAAAACGATTCTAGGTTTTATACACCATTACCATTACCAAACAAACACACAGATATAAAAATCACTACTATTGGCTATATATATATATATATATATATATATATATATATATATATATATATATATATATATATATATATATATATATATATATATATATATATATGTATATATATTTGCGAATATATACGCCTATACACGTATGTTTAGTTATCTAATTGATGTATCTAACGCAGGCAGCAAGTGTGTTGATAAAGAGATTCTCTGTGAGTTTCTAGCCAGCTCCATCCCAGCGTTCTGTACCCAGAAAATTCACGATGCCTACGTCATGGAGAACTGCCAGAAGAGCTGCGGACTGTGTCCGTCAACATCCGTTCTAAGTAAGTTGTCCGTCAACATCCGTTCTAAGTAAGTTGTCCGTCAACATCCGTTCTAAGTAAGTTGTCCGTCAACATCCGTTCTAAGTAAGTTGTACGTCAACATCCGTTCTAAGTAAGTTGTCCGTCAACATCCGTTCTAAGTAAGTTGTACGTCAACATCCGTTCTAAGTAAGTTGTACGTCAACATCCGTTCTAAGTAAGTTGTCGGTCAACATCCGTTCTAAGTAAGTTGTCGGTCAACATCCGTTCTAAGTAAGTTGTCCGTCAACATCCGTTCTAAGTAAGTTGTCTGTCAACATCCGTTCTAAGTAAGTTGTCCGTCAATATAACGTGTGTGGAGATCCATTTGGACCCGCATCCACCACCCTCCCTCCTCACCAGTCAACACACTGCTACATGTCGAATATTCCGTACCCCCCCCCCCCTCACGCTCCCAACACAGAAAGTATATAATATATGGATGATCCGATTTTAGTTAGAAAATGAGAGTTTAATTGTCAGTCAAGCCATTAGTTATTCAAGTTCATTCACATCAATTAGTCTAAATCACATTTGTCAATGACACTTTGATCCATTGAGTCACTGGAAGTAGGATGGGTTTTTATTCATGACTGTAGGGACCAATGTGGTCTTTTTTACTTCCTAGTTGAGGCTGAGTTAATTGAGCAAGTGTTTCATACACACGGTCCGTGGTCCGTATGTGGGCCACTAAAGTGGGATGGATGGTTGGATGGACGGATGGACGGATGGATGGGTGGGTGGGTGGGTGGGTGGATGATTGATGGATAGGATAGGATAAACATATGGACCGATATAGTGAAGGGCAAATAGAGGAAACAAGACGAATAGAATGGTTACAGATGATATATATATATATATATACTAGCCGTCCCGGCCAGGCCCTGCTCTGGCTTCTGTGAAAAACCTTTCTGTTAAAGACCATTACCTGTGTGTTTAGTAATCATCATAAACCCGGCATTGCCCACCCAAACCACAACCAACCAAAACAACAAAACGAAAACAAAAACCTAACAACAAACCCAACCACAACCACAAACACCAATACAAACACAAAGAAAAAACAAACAAAAAAGCAAATGAAAACAAAAACCTAACAACAAACCCAACCACAAACACCAATACCAACAAAAAAAAACAACGAAAAACAAACCAAATCCAAACGCAAAACCAACCAAAAACACAAATACAAACCCAAAGAAAAAAACACAAACAAAAACGAAAAAAGAAAGAACAAAAACGAACCAAATCAAAACGCAACCACTAACGCAAACCCACCTAAACACAAAGAAAACACTAACGCGAACATAAACGCCCGGGGCGGAATCACCTGTTTTAGCTTAATGAACGACTATAGTACCCCAACTTATTCAGTCTTTTGCACTCACTTAAACGAACGCGCCTGTTTCAATTTAATAAACAATTTTAATACTCCAAGCTTATCCGTAAAATACCTACAACATTTGCACTTGATCAATCCCCGCTAATTATGTAATTATTTTTTTTCCCAACACCAAAACAAAGTAATTAAAAAGTAAATTATTTTCACGGAATGCAATGGTTTTATAAAGGGAAGTAATTGTGTTTTTCCTAATTTATCAAAGGGAAGTAAGTGCTATAGGACTAAATAAAGACATAATTAGAATTTTTGTAAAAGATGATATTTTTTTTTAAACTTGTGTTTAATGAACATGCCGACAATTATTACTATAATTTGAAAAATGAAAATTATTTCCCAACACTTTCAATAGTAATTTTTTAGCTCATAAATTTAGACAAATGCGCACGCTAATTTTCTAACTTTTAAATTCGTACAATTCCAACGATATACAAATGCATTACATACAGAACTGAGCTTTATATATTAGATATATATATATATATATAACTATATCAGACTGACATAAATTTAGCACTGCGTTCATACATTACTTTTAGTTTTATAAATAACTCCCTTAATTACGACGTAGATATTATCAGTTACATTCATTCAACGCGGATTTATTTCTGCGCGTTTAACGCACGAGGGCTACAAAATACTTGAACACAACGCGTTAAATCCTGCACTTTTACATACAAGTTGCGCTAATGGGACAGTCAATTGCAGTAACTTCCCTTGGCCCTTACTAAAACTAGTTATTTCCCCTTTAAAAATTCCCTTTCAAGTACATCAAACAATTAGAAAAAACAACTACGCTATCTGCAAAAGCACTTCACAGTTTTGGCTTACTAATTGCATTTTTTGCTTTGTTTAAAGAACAAAGATTTTTTAAAACATATTACGAAATCTGTTAAGAGTACGATAATAGAGGCCTGTTTTAACTAAAGCTCAAAGGAAAAGGGTTATTCAGTTTCAAACTCATTATGAACTTTTTTTCTCACTCTGATCAAAGTTCAGCAAACGAATTTTAAGCCACTCCTAACATGAACATTCTGAAACACACACACATTTATCGTTGTTTTAATCAGTACACCAGAATCAGTTCCAGGATTCTCTTTCTGGGCGGGATAATATTTACTTCACCAGTCCCCTCACCCCCACCCCATAAAGATTCCAGTGCCTTCAGTCCCAGAAATGAATGTAGTAAAGAAATGCTGAACCGTTTTCATTTTGATTGACTATTTTAAATATTTTTTGGCCCATAAAGTATCTAAAAAAGTATAGATCCTATTTTTTTAACATTATATATATATATATATATATATATATATATATATATATATATATATATATATATATATATATATATATATATATATGGATATTTGTATATACATACATAAGTTTATCTTTTACACACATAATAAAATAACTTGTATTTTCCATTAAGACAATTGTAAAAGAAAATGATGTCGTTAAAATGAATGTTAAAGAATTAGTAGACCATTGACTTGTATTATATAGTTAACCCTTAAAGCGTGGCTTGGCGCGCTTTAAGGGTTAAAACGAAATTATTAATCTCCTTACAACAACATAAGATCATGATGTATTTATTTCACGAATTTCTAAAAACATAATTTACAGTTCTGAAATATATATATATATATATATATATATATATATATATATATATATATATATATATATATATATGAGTATACAAAAATATTTCCATTAAACCGAGCAAACTATCTTTTTTAAAAGTAAATCAAAACTGATGTATAAAAAATCTCGCTTTAAAATAAATATTGCAAATTTAAACTTGCACCCTAATTTTCTATTTGATATTTTTTCCGCGAGTTTTTTAAGAACTATGTCTTAAAACTACACTGAACAAAATAGAAACATTATTTAAAAAAATTAACACAATTTATTGACAGTTGACATCAGGTTTGAATATAGATAGATATTTTAAGTCAAGACCAAGCTAAGGTATTTCGAAACTCTGTTACGTATCTTCTCGAATCTTGCAAGTTTGTGTTCTCGAATCTTGCAAGTTTGTGAAGGCGCGCTGGGCAAAGTGCGTGTTTGTCGGAGTGTCTAAAGTACTCACATCCGGTGTGTTGGCGGAATACAAAGTTTACACTCGCTGGCGAATAACGTTAATTAATTAATTAATATATGATAATTAATAGTTTTAACAATATTTATGCATACTTGTGAACCGGTGATTTAAAAAAAATGATGAATGCTTAATTAACATGTTAATATTCCATATTGTGTTTGTAAGCTACAACTAAAAGAGAAATTAAATTAGAATTAAATTAGAATAATCAACTTTAATGTGATATTTCTCTTCACTGCTGGATACAAAAATGGCGTTTAATTAGCAAGTCAAATGTGTCTAGGATATCTATAAAAAGTGTGTAATATATTGTTTAGATATAGTCGATATTTGTGTTATTCAATATGTATGCGGGTGTTTCCTACGTGAAATATGTGTATAGTTCGATAGTATTTCTTAGTTTGGGATGTTTTGTTACAACTGCTGCAAGTAAGTACATTAGAATCGTAGTCGCTCTTATAAATGTTTAAGGAGTTTTTTTTAGTTCCCCCTTTTTTTTTAATTTTATTTGGGAAACATAATACAATATTTTAAACTATTTTAGCGAGCAGAATCACAACATACATAAAATAATTTCACTTTTTAAATTGATGGATATATACAACTTCGCCGGTCAGATGAGGCTCTATATCTGAAGACAAAACTAAAACATAAACAACTGATGCTTATATATATATATATATATATATATATACATATATATATACATATATATATACACACACACACATATATATATATATATATATATATATATATATATATATATATATATATATATATATATATATATATATATATATATATAATTATTTATATAGTGAATGTTACACAAACATATTAACACACAAAGCAGTATCCAATTTCGAGATAGGTTGGTAAACTTTAGCCTGAAGATCTAGAAGAGTAATTGCACCAAATAATTTCTTATTATATTAAATTTAAACATAAAACCACAGAGTCACAGAGACCCAACATACATTTCACCTCAGCACGTCTCATTCCACGGGCCATTCATACAAACACTAAGAGATACATTCATCATACATAGAACTACACAGACTAAAGACAACAATTAGCTAATAGGAAATAACTGGGTATTGACTTTTCAGTTAACCATGACACCAATTTAATATGGGCCCAGAGCCCCTCAGGCAAGACCTACGCGGTAGCAAGGCTGGTAGCCATACAAGGTAACCCTAGGAACTGGACCACAAGCAGACGACCACAGGTAGCTAAATGCTGACCAGAGATGGTGTATGTCAGTCGTATCTATGTAGCGATCTGTTTGTTTATAAACAGTATGAATACATGTCTCTTCAATGTGTCTTTATGTTAATTATAACAGTATTTTGTCTGCTCTCTCTCTCTCTCTCTCTCTCTCTCTCTCTATATATATATATATATATATATATATATATATATATATATATATATATATATATAGGGCCTATATATGTATATATATATTTATTTATAAATATATATATATATATATATATATATATATATATATATATATATATATATAAAGTATTTCGAAATGTCTAATTGTACGTATGTGTATTTGATTTCTATTTGTTCCTTCGTATGACATTGTGTACATCCGATCATGAAAAATGAAAATCAATGTGTGTATAGTGTTGTAGTTTATTTTGACAACCTAAACTTGATGATGTCCGTGTACTTCGTCTTAAGTTAAGATTTCTTGTTGTTGTGTTGTTGTAATTGTGTTGTAACTGTGTAGTTATTGTGTTGTTGTGTTGTTGTTGTATTGTTGTTGTACTTATTGTTGTTGTTGTGTTGCTGTTTTGTTGCATTGTTATTGCGTTGTATTGCTGTTTGTTGATGTGTTGTTGTTGTTGTGTTGCTGTTGTGTTGTTGTTGTTGTTGTGTTCTTGTTATTGTGTTGTTGACGTGTTGTTGTTATGTTGTTGCTATGTTGTTGTTGTTTTGTTGTTGTGTTGTTATGTTGTTATTGTGTTGTTGATGTAATTTGCGTGAGTTTATTTGTGTGTGTGTGTTTGTATGATTTCTAATGAGCTTATGTGATAGGTCCATACATTTCTATATGTGGATATTGTTAGTATCCTCTTTATATATGTCTGTGTGTCTAACCGTTATTGTTGAAGATTGTTAGGCCAACCCTCTAATCACTTTCATCACTCTGTGACCTTTGCACCTACAGGTCACGTATATTGGCGCCCCCCATTTCACCTGGGAGTTCAAGTCACTGGGGTTTCACTGGGAGGACCAAACTCTCTTCTGGAGCGAGGGGGTCAACAAGAAGATACAGGTGAGGGAACTGTGGTACAGAGATTCAAAACACTGCACTATATATGTAGAATATATATATATATATATATATATATATATATATATATATATATATATATATATATATATATACATGTATATATATATATACTCCATTAAAGTAAATGTGCATGACGTCTTTCAGTGTCTAGTACTGAATGGATCTGTAGACACATTGACCCTGTACACGGGAACTTCCTCTGAAGTGTACGGTATCGCCGTCGACTGGCTCTCCAGGAATCTCTACTTCACGGACGCCCTGTACAACTGGATCATGATGATATCCACCGACCCCAACAGGACTGGATACAAGATCATCATCCAGGACTGGCTGGATTCGCCACACGGACTAGCGGTGTATCCACAAAAAGGGTTTGTTGTGTTTATAGTGTGTTATGTGAAGAGAATTTAAAATGGGATGTCCATAATACATTCACACATGTTGACAATAGCATTTGGTCCGATCGGAATTTATATATATATATATACATATATATATATATATATATATATATATATATATATATATATATATGATCCGATCGGATATAATGTAAACTATTAAAGCTCGGTATTCAATAAAACATGTATTTTATCATTATTTTATCTTTTATTAATTTAATGTTGAAAGGATATAATCCATTTTTAAGGGGACGCAACCCTTAAATGTATTCTAAACACTCTTAAACATAAAAAGACACAAGATTTATTGCGTTAAAATACGTGACATTTAAAATATCTAACAACTCTAAATTTTAAAAGAAATATGTTTCCTATGGTCTATTAATCTTTATATTTAAATATAATTTGACTATAATTAATATAGTTAAACAGAAACATTAATAAGTAATGTATTTTACTCAAAAAAAAAGTTTATCGCGATAAAGTTGCTTAAAACCTTGTGTGCGTCATAGGTAAACAAGTTAATTAAAAAAGTCTAGTGACATTTATGCGCAATTTCCTTATGTTATCTAAAAATAGCTCTGACGTATAATGCTGGGGTGCGTTCAAGCTAGAAGAACGATCGGTTTGAAGGTGTTTATGTAATTTTAAAATTTGTGACCGAACGAGAGGATATTTTTGAAAACTTTCTTCGGCAATATTGTTCTAAATTATGGCAGGAATCGATTGGTACATGTTTCAAGTCGCTAAGTGGTCTGGTTGTCGAGATATGGGCCAAAAACTGAATGTTTTTAAGGTTTTTGGGCTTTTCCGGGAAATACATGAAATAAACCCGGAATTTTTATGGCCTATGCTCATTCTCGTAACTTGTTTAACATAATTGCATTTGGAACTAGTCATCGATATTGCTTCGTTGAGGAGGAGATACGACTTAAAGCCCGGACACACATTCATCCATACATTCATTCATCCATCCATCCATTCCCAGAAATGACGAGTTAATAAACGCAATTCTCCAGAATGGAAATTGCGCTAAAAAAAATTGTAATTTTCGCTAATATTTCATTTTGCCAAACTATTTTATTATTACATAAACCAGGGGTCGGCAACCTGCGGCTCGCGAGCCGAATCCGGCTCTTTTGATATCAAGATGCGGCTCTCCAGCTCCTTGAACAAATACTAATAATCTTAATCAAAAAATAAAATATTTGAAATAAAAAAAAATTTTAGTGTCTCTTTAAAACCAGGGAAATTTTTGAAAATTTTAACTTTTGGCTTTTCCGCTTCAAAAGGTTGCCGACCCCTGACATAAGCTAATAGGCAACATACAAGCTGAAAACTGTTGGTAAGCACAATAGGTGGCATTCCCCGCAGATCTGTGCAACTTCAGAAACGTTTTGGTGTTCTCTAAACAGCCTTTAATTAATGTTCAAATTTGCCTTTTTGTTCCATAAGCCTCGGTAGAGTTCGCATACCTACCTAAAAAATATCGCATTAGCTGTGACATTATATATTAGCTGTGACATTATATATATATAATGTATAGAACAGCGTAATCTCTAAGTAAAAAAAAATGCAAGTAGGCTGCTACATACTTAACATATGGTAAAATTCAGCATCATTCTTGGACTGACTTAGATTAAAAGCAAATAAGTTTATAGCTTTTTGAAAACTATCTTCAGCTGATGAATCGATCTGATAACCTGGCTATGTATGCCAACTTTAAAACTAGGTATATACTTGTCACAATGTAATTTGTGCACGTCATCATTCTTTTCTTTCGTGGCAGAGGCACAGGCGTCTATGAAGTAGAGTTCATGTGTTTCAATTACAGGGCATATTAGTTAATTTTCTTTGGGCCCCTAGTCATCTGTCATTGTGGCTTTAGTCAGTTTTTCTTGGGCCCCTTAGTAATCCGTCAGGTTCTCTTTAATCAGTTTTTTTGGGGCCCTTAGTCATCTGTTTTGGTTGCTTTAGTCAGTTTTTCTTGGGGCCCTTAGTCATCTGCTTTGGTTGCTTTAGTCAGTTTTTCTTGGGGCCCTTAGTCATCTGCTTTGGTTGCTTTAGTCAGTTTTTCTTGGGCCCCTTAGTAATCAGTCAGGTTCTCTTTAATCAGTTTTTTTGGGGCCCTTAGTCATCTGCTTTGGTTGCTTTAGTCAGTTTTTCTTGGGGCCCTTAGTCATCTGCTTTGGTTGCTTTAGTCAGTTTTTCTTGGGCCCCTTAGTAATCAGTCAGGTTCTCTTTAATCAGTTTTTTTGGGGCCCTTAGTCATCTGTTTTGGTTGCTTTAGTCAGTTTTTCTTGGGGCCCTTAGTCATCTGCTTTGGTTGCTTTAGTCAGTTTTTCTTGGGGCCCTTAGTCATCTGCTTTGGTTGCTTTAGTCAGTTTTTCTTGGGCCCCTTAGTAATCAGTCAGGTTCTCTTTAATCAGTTTTTTTGGGGCCCTTAGTCATCTGTTTTGGTTGCTTTAGTCAGTTTTTCTTGGGGCCCTTAGTCATCTGTTTTGGTTGCTTTAGTCAGTTTTTCTTGGGCCCCTTAGTAATCAGTCAGGTTCTCTTTAATCAGTTTTTTTGGGGCCCTTAGTCATCTGTTTTGGTTGCTTTAGTCAGTTTTTCTTGGGGCCCTAAGTCATCTGTTTTGGTTGCGTTAGTCAGTTTTTCTTGGGCCCCTTAGTAATCAGTCAGGTTCTCTTTAATCAGTTTTTTTGGGGCCCTTAGTCATCTGTTTTGGTTGCTTTAGTCAGTTTTTCTTGGGGCCCTAATTCATCAGTCCGGTTCTCTTTAATCAGTTTTTTTATTTCAGTTCAGGGCCGTTGTCATTTGTCAGGGTCCTTAAGTACACTTTATAAAATGTTGACCTATTCAAATTATCCAGCTAGCTATTCTACTACAGACAGATCTAAAAGTAAAACTGTCTTCTGCTTGTTCTGTGTTTCTCAGATATCTCTTCTGGTCCGATTGGGGAGCTCGCCCAAAAATTGAAGTCTCGTCACTTCTCGGCGAGTCTCGGACAATATTGGTCGAGAAGAACATCGTGCGACCCCGCGGTCTGGCGATCGACTACAGCTCAGACACACTGTACTGGGTGGACATGTTCAAGTACACGCTCGAGTCGGTGCGGTTTGACGGCAGCCTGAGGAAGGTGATCCACAGGGAGGAGGGGACGTCGTTCTATGGTGTGGCTCTTTATGAGGTCAGTTGGTGGTATGGGCAGGGGGGGGCGTCGTTCTACGGGGTGGCTCTTTATGAGGTCAGTTGGTGGTATGGGGGGGGGGGGAAGGTGAGCTCTTTATGAGGTCAGTTGGTGGTATGGGGGGGGGGGGAGCGTCGTTCTACGGGGTGGCTCTTTATGAGGTCAGTTGGTGGTATGAGGCGGGGGGGGGGGGGGGGGGGGAAGGTGTGGCTCTTTATGAGGTCAGTTGGTGGTATGGGGCGGGGGGGGGAAGGTGTGGCTCTTTATGAGGTCAGTTGGTGGTATGGGGGGAGCGTCGTTCTACGGGGTGGCTCTTTATGAGGTCAGTTGGTTTTATGGGGGGATTCGTTCTACGGTGTGGCTCTTTATGAGGTCAGTTGGGGGTATGGGGCGGGGGGGGGGAGGTGTGGCTCTTTATGAGGTCAGTTGGTTGTATGGGGGGGGGAGCGTCGTTCTACGGGGTGGCTCTTTATGAGGTCAGTTGGTGGTATGGGGCGGGGGGGGGGAAGGTGTGGCTCTTTATGAGGTCAGTTGGTGGTATGGGGCGGGGGGGGGGAAGGTGTGGCTCTTTATGAGGTCAGTTGGTGGTATGGGGGGAGCGTCGTTCTACGGGGTGGCTCTTTATGAGGTCAGTTGGTTTTATGGGGGGATTCGTTCTACGGTGTGGCTCTTTATGAGGTCAGTTGGGGGTATGGGGCGGGGGGGGAGGTGTGGCTTTTTATGAGGTCAGTTGGTTGTATTGAGGGGGGGGGGCGTCGTTCTACGGGGTGGTTCTTTATGAGGTCAGTTGGGGGTATGGGGCGGGGGGGGGGGGAGGTGTGGCTTTTTATGAGGTCAGTTGGTTGTATTGAGGGGGGGGGGGGCGTCGTTCTACGGGGTGGTTCTTTATGAGGTCAGTTGGTTGTATGGGGCGGGCGGTGTGGCTCTTTATTAGGTGAGCTGGTTGTATAGGTAGGGGGGGGGCGTCGTTCTATGGGGTGGCTCTTTATGAGGTCACTGGGCTGTATAGGGTGTGGGGAGGGGGAGGGGGAGGGGGATGAGGTGGCTCTTGATGAGGTCATTTGTTTTTATAAGGACGGGGGGGGGGGCGGCTCAGATAGTGGACTAAATGGGCCCCTGAGCAATTTGAACAAGACTCTCAAAAAGTTTCTTAAAGTGTTATACAAGTTTCTCGTTCTGTCTTCACGTGATCTAGAACTTTCTTTTTCTGACGGAGCGGTCGAAAGGGATGCTGAAGATTTTCGACAACGAGCAGCGATTGGTCAGTTTCACCCTCGGCAACACGCCATACGACATCATCATGTATGACGAGTCTCAGCAACCCGGAAACTCTAGTAAGTAAACCAAAAGTGAATGTAAAACAGTAAGTAGACCGGAAATGGATATAAACAGTAGATACACCGGAAGTGGATGTAGTATAGTAAGTTTACATGGTGTAACATCATACTTCAACAAACTTGACTATTTAGCCGAAATTAGCGTCACTATATATGTCAAGTATAACATGTCCAGTATAACATTCAGTATAACATGACTAGTATATTATGTCCAGTATAACATTTAGTATAACATGCCTAGTATTTTATGTCCAGTATTACTTGTCGAGTATAACATGCCCAGGCTAAAATGTCCATTACAACATATCAAGTATAACATGAATAGTATAACATCCAGTATTAAATCTACTTAACATGCCGAGTATAACATGTCAAGTATAAAGTGCCTAGTATATTATGTACAGTATAACATATCCTGTATAACATATCCCGTATAACATGTCCCGTATAACATATCCCGTATAACATGTCGTGTATAACATGTCCACTATGTCATGTCCCGTATAACATGTCCCGTATAAAATGTCCAACGTCTATCCAGGTGACTGTGAAAACCTCGGATGTGAGCAAATGTGCGTCCTTGACCCGAAGAAAGGCGCTGCTTGTATCTGCGGGGAAGGGTTTACCTTGGAAGAAGGTTCCACAACAAAATGCAAAGGTACATTTGTCACTTACTTCAGCATCTAAAGTTTAACTTACGTGTAATGTAATTTAGGTTTGCAAAGTTTTTTTTAGTTATTTTTTTTTATGTATCATTGTATGTTGCTATTGCTTGCTATGCATCCCCCACATACATGAATGGCATTCTCCCCAGTCCCTTAACAAAGTTTAAACCTCTATCTCCCCAGTATCCTAACAAAGTTAAACCTCATATTTCCCCAGTTTTAAACATCCAGTTTTTTACCTCTTACCTCGTAAGTCTCCTGATAAGGTTTAACCTCATATGCCCTAGTCTCCTAACAAAGTTAAACCTTCTATCTCTCCAATCTCCTTACAGAAATTAACCCCCTATCCCCCCAGTTTATAAAACACAAAGTTTAACCAACTATCTCCCCAGTCTCCCAACAGTTTGTCCATCTGTCACACAAAGTTTAACCCCCTATCTCCCCAGCCCCTAACAAAGTTTAACCCCCTATCTCCCCAGTCTCCCAACAGTTTGTCCATCCACCACACAAAGTTTAACCTCCTATCTCCCCAGCCCCCTAACAAAGTTTAACCCCCTATCTCCCCAGTCTCCCAACAGTTTGTCCATCCACCACACAAAGTTTAACCTCCTATCTCCCCAGTCCCCTAACAAAGTTTAACCCCCTATCTCCCCAGTTCCCTAACAAAGTTTAACCCCCTATCTCCCCAGTCCCCTAACAAAGTTTAACCCCCTATCTCCCCAGTCCCCTAACAAAGTTTAACCCCCTATCTCCCCAGTCCCCTAACAAAGTTTAACCCCCTATCTCCCCAGTCCCCTAACAAAGTTTAACCCCCTATCTCCCCAGTCCCCTAACAAAGTTTAACCCCCTATCTCCCCAGTCCCCTAACAAAGTTTAACCCCCTATCTCCCCAGTCCCCTAACAAAGTTTAACCCCCTATCTCCCCAGTCCCCTAACAAAGTTTAACCCCCTATCTCCCCAGTCCCCTAACAAAGTTTAACCCCCTATCTCCCCAGTCCCCTAACAAAGTTTAACCCCCTATCTCCCCAGTCCCCTAACAATGTTTAACCCCCTATCTCCCCAGTCTCCCAACAGTTTGTCCATCCGTCACACATCTATGCCATCAGAGACTCCATCTGTCACTACCCGGCGAACCTGGCTGACATGTCACTTGCTAACATTACGCTCGACTCGCAGTGTTTCCTGGAAGATAGGCAGGTAATGGTTCTAACTGCCACAGGTAGTGGTTTCACCTGCCACAGGTAAAAGTTTTAAGTGCCACAAGTAACTATTAAATAAGAGCAGGCAATAACTCTACCAGTCTCAGGTAGTAGTTTAACGTGCCACAGGTCATAGTTTCACCTGTTACAGGTAACGTCTATACCTGAGCAGGTAATACCCCTACCTGCAGCATGTAATTATACCTGGGACGGCTTACACCCCTCATAGCTCCCCCCTCCCATACCCCCCCGCTGTCAACTACTGTACAGAAAATAACAAAACTATCAACCATCGCCTTTCTTCATTGCTTTTGCGGAAACTGGGAACCTCCTAGAAGGGGGGGGGGGATACTTAAATTTCCGTGAGGAGCGGGGGGTGGTTACTGGCTAAGTCATATATGTGCTATTTAAATTACTTTTTTTAAAATTTGTTTTCTGGGGCGGAGGGGGAGGTGAACGTGCTGTGAGTGGAGCCCCCCCCCCCCTCCCCCCAAGAGATACCTAAAAGAAACTCTTCTTGGTGTGTTCATTCATTCAATGAAGACTTTTGTTTATGTTGTCATGTCCAGGGCTACACGACCTTGACCTTCGACGCGAGGGAGAACACTCTGTACTACTTCGGGAACAACTCGAAGACCATCAGCCGCATCCCGCTGGAGGTGGGCGGCAAGGGCAAGCTGGTGACCGGGGGCTCAGGGGAGGTCAAAGGTGAACAGAGCTCACTCTTATATCACCGTGGTGTCATCCTGTGATGTTGCGGACGTACAAGAAAAATTCTAAGAATGATTTTTTTTTAGTGAAATCTAATTGACACAAAAAACCACAATGTAAATACAGCATTTCGAAACAGGTTCACTGACTGCATATTCAAGTGGGTTGTAAGTCAAGAGCCTCCCCCCCCCCTTCTTCCCTTCCCTCTCAACAGGCATGCACTTAACGCTGCTAAGCATTGCAGTGTCCACACAACTTTCCTCCTCCCCCCCTTCCCCCCACTCCATTATAATGACACTTTTTATGTGCTACATTTTGAGAGGATACACATTAGATATAACCCCTGACAACACACTTCATAAATTAAAAACGTGTTCGTTTACGTTTAAGAGTGTCTAATATATCCTACCACTAAAATACTAATTATACGTTTATCTTTTGTGTTTTATCTTTTGTTTTATCTCACCCATTTAAGCTGAGTTTAACCAGTGAGCTAATGTGTTAAACCTGTCGAAACAAACATGTATAGTAAACTGTTAAACCATCTCTGTTATGTTAATATTAACCGTTAAAAAAAACAACTTTTCTGTGAAACATAGTGAGCTAACCCATCTCTTTGAACTTCTAAACTTATACCTCTGTAACACGCTATAAAAATACTTCTTATCCAACAGACTCTATTGTTTATTCTTCTAAACTAACCTTCAGACTGTTTAGCCTCTAGACTATTTAACCCGCTGAGCTTACACGACTCTTTAACAAGCTAACTCAACAGTTTAACCTGCTAATGCCAGACTTTAATCTGTTAACTTGACAGTTTAACCTCATAACTAAACAGTTTAACAGTTTAACATTCTAACTCGAACATTTAACCTTCTAACTCGACAGTTAAACCTGCTAACGCCCCACTTTAATCTGTTCTTGACAGTTTAACATGCTACCTCGAAAGTTCAACCTCCTAGTTCAACAGTTAAACCTTTTAACTCGACAGTTTAACTCGCTAACTCCACGGTTTAACCTGCTAATTAGACTATTTAACCTATTAATTAGACTGTTGAACCTGTTAATTAGACTGTTTAACCTATTAATTAGAATGTTTAACCTGCTAATTAGACTGTTTATCCTACCCAGTAGACTGTTTAACCTGCTAATAAGACTGTTTAACCTGCTAATTAGACTGTTTAACCTACTCATTAGACTGTTTAACCTGCTAATTAGACTGTTTAGCCTGCTAACTTGACTGTTCAACCTCCTAGCTCAACAGTTAAACTTTTTAACTCGACAGTTTAACTCGCTAACTCCACGGTTTAACCTGTTCATTAGACTGTTTAACCTGCTAATTAGACTGTATAACCTGCTAATTAGACTGTTTAAACTACTAATCAGACTGTTTAATGTACTAATTAGACTGTTTAACCTTCTAACTCGATAGTTCAACCTGCTAATTAGACTGTTTAACCTGCTAATTAGACTGTTTAACCTACTAATTAGACCGTTTAACCTGCTAACTTGACAGTTAAACCTGCTAACTTGACTGTTTAACCTGCTAATCAGACTGTTTAACCTACTAATTAGACTGTTTAACCTGCTAATTAGACTGTTTAACATACTAATCAGACTGTTTAACCTACTAATTAGACTGTTTAACCTTCTAACTCGATAGTTTAACCTGCTAATTAGACTGTTTAACCTGCTAATTAGACTGTTTAACATACTAATCAGACTGTTTAACCTACTAATTAGACTGTTTAACCTACTAATTAGACTGTTGAACCTGCTAATTAGACTGTTTAACCTGCTAACTTGACTGTTTAACCTGCTAACTTCACTGTTTAACCTGCTAACTTCACTGTTTAACCTGCTAACTAGACTGTTTAACCTTCTTAATGGATAGTTTAACCTACTAATTAGACTGTTGAACCTGCTAATTAGACTGTTTAACCTGCTAACTTGACTGTTTAACCTGCAGGCATGGCCCTCGACTGGGTGGCCGGCAACCTCTACTGGACAGACAGCACCAACAGGGTGATTAAAGTGGCCAAGAAAAACGGATCATTCCAGAGGATTCTACTCGACAACCTGACCAACCCGATGGCCATAGCAGTCCACCCAGGACTGGGGTAGGTCGTCTGGTGGTTCTCGTGATCTGTGGGCTGAATGGTTGGTGTATAGGTCGGAGTTGGGTTGTCGTGATCTATGGGGTTGTAGGGGAATGGCTGAATGGTTGGTGTATAGGTCGGAGCAGGGTTGTCGTGATCTATGGGGTTGTAGGGGAATGGCTGAATGGTTGGTGTTTAGGTCGGAGCAGGGTTGTCGTGATCTATGGGGTTGTAGGGGAATGGCTGAATGGTTGGTGTATAGGTCGGAGCAGGGTTGTCGTGATCTATGGGGTTGTAGGGGAATGGCTGAATGGTTGGTGTATAGGTCGGAGTTGGGTTGTCGTGATCTATGGGGTTGTAGGGGAATGGCTGAATGGTTGGTGTATAGGTCGGAGCAGGGTTGTCGTGATCTATGGGGTTGTAGGGGAATGGCTGAATGGTTGGTGTATAGGTCGGAGCAGGGTTGTTCAGATAAGGGGTTGGAGTTGATACGGTTTTGATAGTTATATGAAAAGATTGCCAAGATCTGTATAGATAGCTATCTGAAAAGATTGCCGAGATCTGTATAGATAGCAATCTGAACAGATTGCCAAAAACCGTTTTCAACATTGAATAAACGCATCGATATCACTAATTTACATTAAACTGAGAATAATGATGAAGGCATTAAAACTTTTTTTTGTTTAATATAGAAGGAAAAAAAAACTGGGTGTACTTAAATTTAAAGAACATTAAAAAAAAAACATTTTATATTCATATCCGCTTTCGAAGAAATATAACAATTAATATTAGTTTCCTGTAGCATTTCCGCTCATCAGCCTTAGGGAGTAAATAATTACTAGAATATCTATTTTAAATTGTTTCCTAGAATAATTTTTTTTTTATATTTCGAAACGGGAACTAGAGTTTTGTTACGAAAAGGTGAGGCTTTTTAAAAATCAGAAGTGGCTAAGGGGAGACAAGAATGAAATTAAAACAAACTGTAAACGCACGAACTGAAAAAAGATCGACCCCTGCACAATAGATTAGTCATTTTTAAAAGGAGCTATTTACAATAAAGTTTTTCAAATTATCATTACCATAGGCCTAATGGTTTTTTTTTTGTTTACTGAAATTTAAAATTTCATACATTTTCAAAAACATAATAAAACAAACATGACCTTGATTTGTTGTTTTAATGATGACGTATTTTTTATTTTTTTTAGAGAAATTTACTGGACTGACCACGGTCGTCTGCCGGACGTAGCGGCGACTGTGGAAAAGGCGAACATGGACGGCACGGATAGGACTGTGATCGTGAGGGTAGAGACCGGTCAGCCGAATCATCTTTACGTCGACTATGAAAAAAATTGGTGAGTAGACTTCTAGGGCGTCGCTAGGGGGTGAGATGGGGTGCTACCCGCCCCATATAGCAAAAACGCTCAGACACCCTTAATAATATGAATTATGTTTTAAATACAAAGTCTGAAACTGAAATAATATTATTTAAAATAAATAAAATCAAACTTCAAAAAATTGAAATAAAATGTATTCTAAAATGGAGTTTATAGAAAACCATCAACTTGCAAAAAACTTTTTTGAAATTTCGCAGTGTTGCTTTTGTGCAGTTATTGTAGATCTGTGTATATATTTCAATATAATTTTAAATATTTTTTTAATTTAGTGTGTACTGGGCTGACTCAATACTTTTCCACGTGACTAAGTACAATCTAACGAATGGTAAAGTTTCTGTCGTATACGAACAAACGAATGTCAAATTTTACGGATTATCAATGTTTAAGGTAATACTATTTGTTAAGTCATAATTTTGTTGTATTCCATGTGTTTTCCATGTGTATTCCATAATATGTATTCCATGTATATTCCACATTTATTCCATTTGTATTCCATGTGTATACAGTGAGTAGCCCATGCATACCTTTGTGTATTCAAAGTGTTTTGACCTTTAGTACCTAATACTCATCTCTAGATGTAGTCGACAAAAACGTGTAGTCACTAGCTCGATAACATGCCCTACCTCCGCACTTTACTTAAAAGGTGTGCATCAATCCACACCTACCCACCGACTTCCACAACTACTATTTCAGAACTCTATGCTTCTCCCCTATCCCATTACTGCATGCCTACATGCCCGTAATATCTGGAGCTAAACCCTCTTTCCATCACCAGTTTCAGAACTAAATGCTACTATTAAAATTACAACCAGCCCCCATCCACACACTTTACATGTTTTAGGACTAAATGCAAGTAATTAATTTAACCCCCATCTCCCCCACCTCCCCCACCATATTTCAGGACTATATGCAACTAATATATGTAACCTAACCCCACCTCCCCCACCCCACCCTATTTCAGGACGATATGCAACTAATATCTGTAACCTAACCCCACACCTCCCCCACCCCCACCTCCCCCACCCGCACCCTATTCCAGGACTATATGCAACTAATATCTCTAACCTCACCTACCCCACCCCCACCCACCCCCCCCCCCCCCATTTCTGGACTATACGCCACTAATATCTCTAACCTAACCCCCACCTCCCCCACCCCCACCATATTCTAGGACTATATGCAAATAATTTCTCTAACCTAACCCCCCACCCCCACCCTATTCCATGACTATACGCCACTAATATCTCTAACCTTACACCCCCCCCCCCCCCCCCCAGGACTACATCCTCTGGACTGACACAGACGACCTGAACGGGATCCACGTGGCCCGCCTGGACAAGCAGGAGAAGGTGCGGGGTATCATCCACCCCAAGAACGGCGTGGCCGCGGACCTCATCACGTTCGACATCAAAGCCCAGCCCGACATCAAAAGTAAGGTCTCCGTTTGTTGTGTTGACGTCACGTCATCTCCGTTTGTTGTGGTGAGGTCACGTCATCTCCGTTTGTTATGGTGTAATCAAGTCATCTCCATTTGTTATGTTGTAATCTAGTCATTTTCATTTGTTATGTTGTAATCTAGTCATTTTCATTTGTTATGGTGTAATCTATTCATTTTCATTTGTTATGTTGTAATCTAGTTATTTTCATTTGTTATGTTGTAATCTAGTTATTTTCATTTGTTATGGTGTAATCTAGTCATTTTCATTTGTTATGTTGTAATCTAGTCATTTTCATGTGTTGTGGTGTAATCTAGTCATTTTCATTTGTTATGGTGTAATCTATTCATTTTCATTTGTTATGTTGTAATCTAGTCATTTTCATTTGTTATGGTGTAATCTATTCATTTTCATGTGTTATGGTGTAATCTATTCATTTTCATTTGTTATGTTGTAATCTAGTCATTTTCATTTGTTATGATGTAATCTAGTCATTTTCATTTGTTATGGTGTAATCTAGTCATTTTCATTTGTTATGGTGTGATGTAGTCATTTTCATTTGTTATGGTGTGATCTAGTCATTTTCATTTGTTATGGTGTAATCTAGTCATCTCAATTTGTTATGGTGCAATCAAGTCATATATTTTTGTATGGCGTCTCCTCATCTACATCTGATATTTTACATGACTTCCAATCTTGTTTTAATTCAATTTATTATTTTTAATACCACGTTATCTACATACGTTTGTTATATAAAAAGATCCGCGATCTCCGTTTGTTTGGACATAAATAAAGACCGAAACGAACTGGCAGAAAAGGTCTGTCTAAAACCGAGGTTTACATAGTAAGCCGAAAAACTTCATAAACTTCAGCTTTTCCACTACATTTCACACCAACTATCATTCCGAAAGTTTTAAGATTGTTCACGTTTTGTTCAATTTTGTTTTCGAAATATAACAAGTTTAAAAAATGCTGAATTTTTTTTTTACGTTGATACATCACATATGTGAATACTGACAAAAAATTATGTTTTCAGCTTTTAAAAAATCTATTACGTGATAATGAATGCATTAATTTTAATTTGTAAAAGTCAACAGATCACATATGTGAATACTAAAAAAAAAATATCAAAAAAACAAAAACAAAAATATTATGTTTTCAGCTTTTAAAAAATCTATTACGTGAAAGTGAATGCATTAATTTGTATCTGTGAATGCCTGCAGATTTGTGTAATGAGGCCGAGTATAAGTGCTCACACTTGTGTCTTCTAACACGAAATAAACAAGCCAGGTGTCTCTGTGGCAACGGTTATGTTCTCTCTAGTGACGGATTCACGTGCAACACGGGTGAGTACACATTTATACAGATTGTGTATTTATATAAACAACCAGTAAAGTATTGTAAAATCAATAGTTCTGTCATATGAAATTGTATTGTTTATTTGTATGACGACTTCAAAATGTTGATTTCATAGTAAGGTTTCTCTAACCTTAAGCCTTGTCCTAACACTAACCAAACCCTAGCTAAACGCCAATTCCTTCCGTGTGGTTTACGCAATTCCTGAGCCTAATAATAAATATTACTCTAACCCGCCTATCGATACGCGCAGAGAAGAAAAAAACAATACGATACTGCATTGATATCCATTTTGTTTTCGAAAATCACACATTTTTCTTTCCTTGATTAACACTTTAATAACCTCAGAAATGATACTATTTGACAAAAGTGCCAATGTTTCTGACAGACCCCTATCTGGACCACTTCCTGTTGGTCAACGATGCCTTCCAGAGGCAAATCTTCCAGGTCAGCCTGGTGAATGGGGTGGAGACTACGATCAATCTAATGCTGACCCATGAACCCGTGGCCGTGTCCTTTGACCCTTTCGATTTGAAGGTGAGTTCATCGTTTGATTATGTGAAATGGGAGTTGATCCATGGGATTTGGATATTTTGAGTTGTTCATCATTGGGAATTGGATGTTTCAAGCTGAGTTCAACGTTTGTATCAAAACATTTAAACATAAGTTCGGCGCCCGGGGACAAACTTTCAATTTGGCGCCCCCCCCCCCCCCTCCCACATATATTTTTTTTAATTTTATAATTCAAAACTGCAGCTAAAATGAGCTTTTAAATTTTTTCCGACCCATTTTGGCGCCCTTAGGGTCGGCGCCCGGGGACATATATAACCCCCCCCCCCCTCTTTGCAACGCCTCTGGAAATTTGTAGATGAGTTCATTATTTGCTATGGCATAGTGCTGAGTATACTATCCCTTCATATGCTGAGTTCACAAAAATATGTTACCTCTACATCACAAACCCAATGGACCTTCAGGTTTGAAAGGGTATATTACCACTTATCATTTGACACTGAATATTTAAAGATAAATTAATTGTTTGTTCCTTTCTTTATAAAAGTGAGCTCAACGTTTCCCCTTTAGGATTGTCTAAATCCATCGTATGTCCCTTGATATTTGCTGGTGAGTTGTACGAACAGACATTACGATTTGAAGATGACAAGTTTGTTGCAACACCAGGGTCAAACTAACTTTCCCTTTGTGAAAACGCAGGTGTTCTGGTCCGATAACAAAGCGAACGTCATCAAAGAGGCAACACTTGATGGTCAGTTTGAAAAGGAAGTCACTTTGCTAAATAACAGTGAGTATTCATTATTTTTATAGATTTTATAAACTGTAGCCTAATTGTTCATTGTTCAGTATTTGTTCAATGTTTTAATACATTTTATAAACAGTAATTGTTCATTCTTCAGTACTTTTTCAATGATTTAATACATTTTATAAACAGTACGTGTTCACTGTTTTAATGTTTTAATTCATTTTATAAACAACTTGTTCATTTTTATTGTTTTAATGCATTTTACACACATTTTTATAACTGCGTAGTTAAATTTACCCCATGGGATATTTTCGAACACATACCTTAGTAAAAGGTCTACCTGCATTCGATGTTTCTTTTACGCCAGTATCCTGACCATAAGCTTTCTTAGCCCTATCACTACCCTTCACACTACCTTAGAACTTGCCACGAATTCTAACTATATCCCGGCAGTTTCTTCCAGGCATCTCTTCGGGGGAGGGAGGGTGGGAGGTTGGCTTCCGAAAACGTCATGATCTAGTAAGTACATACTTGACCACAATAACAAAACCTCCCCCTCCACCCACCCCCCGCCCTCCACAGTGTCCATGTGCGACGGGCTGGCGATTGACTACCTGAACAGACTCATCTTCTACACCGACACCGGAAATGACGTCATCGGGGTCATCAGCCAGAACAACTACGACATGCAGGCGTACATCGTCACATCCGGTTTGGATGAGCCAAGGGACATTGTGGTGTCGCCCAACCAAGGGTAGGTTTATGACATTTGGGGTTTGAATGTCATCACTACCAGGGGTAGGTTTATGACATTTGGGGTTTGAATGTCATCACTAACAGGGGTAGGTTTATGACATTTGGGGTTTGAATGTCATCATTAACAGGGGTAGGTTTATGACATTTGGGGTTTGAATGTCATCATTAACAGGGGTAGGTTTATGACATTTGGGGTTTGAATGTCATCATTAACAGGGGTAGGTTTATGACATTTGGGGTTTGAATGTCATCACTACCAGGGGTAGGTTTATGACATTTGGGGTTTGAATGTCATCACTACCATGGATAGGTTTATGACATTTCGCTTTATGACAGCTGGGGTTTGAATGTCATCTCTACCGTGGGTAGGTTTATGACATTTCGCTTTATGACAGCTGGGGTTTGAATGTCATCACTACCATGGGTAGGTTTATGACATTTCGCTTTATGACAGCTGGGGTTTGAATGTCATCACTACCATGGGTAGGTTTATGACATTTCGCTTTATGACAGCTGGGGTTTGAATGGCATCACTACAAGGGGTAGGTTTATGACATTTCGCTTTATGACAGCTGGGGTTTGAATGGCATCACTACCATGGGTAGGTTTATGACATTTCGCTTTATGACAGCTGGGGTTTGAATGGCATCACTACAAGGGGTAGGTTTATGACATTTCGCTTTATGACAGCTGGGGTTTGAATGTCATCACTACCATGGGTAGGTTTATGACATTCCCTTTCAGGACAGTTCAGTTAGGTGGTAAATGTCATCACAAACAGGAGCAAGTTTCTGAGATTTCCTTTCAATAAGGTTATATTTTTTAAATGAATTCACTACCATAGGTAGTTTATGACATTTCATTTCATGACAATGTCGCCGAATTTAATCAATGGTAGGTTAATAAATATCAGAGTATTCAAACAAACAAATGTTTTTAAATGGCACCTGATAATTTCATCAATTTTAATAATGTTAAGTATTATGTCGTATTTTTCTCTGATGGTTGGGTACATGAAACTTACAGGGTGGGGGGGGGGGGGGGGGGGGGAGAAAACAGAAATAGTGTATGTTTTCAATGTAAATGATACATTTTTCTATTTCTTCCGAGAAGGGGTTGAACGTGCGGAGGGGGGGGGTGTAGTGCCCCTTGAAGAAATGCTTGTTAAAAACTCCGATCAGCTGTCGACTGATTTTTTTATCTCTTAGTTTTTATTTTTTCTACCTTTAATCTACCTGCCTGCCACTTGATACAGCCTTGACCTCGTGTAACCTTGACCTTGTATGTCCACTAGGGTGATCTTCTGGTCAGACTGGGGCGCCAGGGCCAACATATGCCGGTCTAACATGGACGGCAGCAACGTCGAGGTGATCGTCAAGTTCAACAGCACCGCCTGGCCTAACGGCCTAGCCCTTGACCTAGCCGGTACCTTATCATTAACTCATATCGTGTAGAATAGGGCTGGTAAGTAGGTCACCAACCAGTTCTACGGCTCAATAAAGACTGCATGAGACATAGAACTGGTTGGTGACCTACTTACCATCCCTATTAGGCATAACTGTTGTTTAACTTAAAAGAAGTAACTGAATTTTTAACAACAATATAGCGATATATGTAAACAGTGTAATTCCCTTTGAAATACATTTTAGCTTGGAGCAAAAGAAGTAGAGTGTCTTGTTTCTGTATTTAAATGATGCTATTTCCTCAAATAATTTGTATACTTATGTTAATAAGTAATTTAAAATATGTAATTAAAATATAGATAATATAATTAATAATTACTCAATGTGTTTTTAGCTATACCCAAAGATCATTTTTACAAGTAGAAAGTAAATTTCTGTGGGTGCTATTCAATATTATCTAAGCCGATGTAAAAAAAAAAAAAACTAAATTGTTCCAAAACGATCTTTGGAAAAAAAATTATATCTTAAAAAACGTTTTCGTTGCATATAATCTGCTTGTACAAGACCCCAGTGTTGAAAGACTTGAGGCCAGACATGCCCTAATTGCTTGCACTCCACAGAGAACAACCTGTACTGGGTGGACGCCCATGGGGACACGGTCAATGTCATTGATCTGGCCACCCGAGTCATCACCGTCTTGATGGAGGAGCCGGGCGCCCACTACTTCTCCGTAGAGGTTTCAGGGGAGTTCCTGTACGTCGGCGATTGGAAGAAAAAGTGAGTACTGTCTGAGTCATGTTAGTTACTTCCCATTTAGAAGAAAAAATAACAAAGGGAAGTAATATGTACATATGCTGAAGAATATCAATAAAACGTTAAGAAATTAAATAGTATTGAAACAAAATAAAAGTTATTAACTTTAATATCACTTTACATCACAATTACTCGTTGCATATATTTCTTTTATAAATATCTATTTTTTAATTGTGTTTGGAGTTATTATCTATATTTTAATTTAAATAAGAAAGTATTAACGGTAATAAGTACATAATTTCTAGAGTTCTTATTACAAATATTAATAAGTAATACTACAAATGGTCGCTTGGTATTATTATTTACAGAACAATGTTTGAATCTTTTAAAAAAAAGTTTGGACTCAGGTGTCCATGCTACATCCTTCTATCTATATAATTCTCTTCTTGGAGACGATAGAAAACACCAAGCTGCAAGCGCGCTCCCTACCACCCTCACCCCCACATGGTCTGGTGAACTGCGGTTCACGCTAAATGTTTACAATCGTAGAGCCGGGTTTAGTGACGGTTATTAGGGGCAGATAATGTAGTTTGAAACGATTTTAAACTTAGGGGAGGTAACTAAGATGAGTTTGCTTTCAAGGGGCGGGATGGGGGGGTGGGGTAGGGGTTGGGGGAAAGGAGGGGGTAACATCCTTAACGACCATCTAATAGTGTTTTAAAGCAAATATTTTCAGTGGCAGCATTGGTACTGTCGAATTCACAAATTATGAATTACTGAAAAGTAGAAAATAAAACAACTAAATAGCGACGTATGATACGCCGCGGGTTGGCTCGTATATATATAATTTTCTTCATGGGGACCATACGAGACACCACGCAGCTTAGCCGTTCCTACCCCGCTTTTTTAGGCATATCACTATCACCCTCACCCCCCACCTGTCAGATGAGCTATGGTTCACCCCGAATGTTTACAATAGTAGAGACTATTAGGGGCAGATAATTTAGTTTTTAAAGGATTTGATACTAAGGGGAGATAATAAGTTCTGCTTGATCCATTGTCGTCTGTAAACGGCTGATTTCGCTGGGCGGGGTGGGGGGGGGAGGAGGCAAAGGGGTGGGGTAGTGTCGAATTATGAATTGTTTATAAGTAGAAAATATAACAACTAGATAGCGGCGTATGCTACGTCGCAGTTCAGCTCGTATAATATAATTTTATTTTCTTAAACCCCATAATTATTTTTGCTCTAATTATAAACCCATCCCCCCCTTTTCCACCTCCCCTCCCCCGTACCCCACCCCCCTCACACACACACACAAACAAAATGCCCATTATTCCCAGGTCTTCTCTTAACTCTTCACATGAGACCAAAACAGTGTCGATTTTTACTTTTAAAAACGAGATTAAAATAAGATTGTTTGTATTATGCTTAAGTAAACAATTTTCAATGGACGAAATACGTGTCAGAATGAAGTATTATGCACACACAAAAATGTTACTTAGAGACTTTATTGATTAAAAATCGAAGGCTTTTGGGATTAAATCCTGTAACTAAAATTTAATAATTTCTCGAGAAGCGAATTCTTTTAAACTCTGAACGTTACAGTTGGGCGATGCATTTCTAAGTAGTCTGTCTCACTACATTTTAAATTGATTATTGAAACAATTTCCTAATTGGGTTATTTAACCTATTGCATTGCAAAGTGTATCTATCACGAGACAACAAATCATACAAAAATAGGTTCTAACTCATTTCGGGCCTGAGAAATCGGGTTTTAAAAACGTCTTTATCTCAAATTGTTACCCTCCGAAAATTGTGAAAACTTCATATCTGGCACGCTGGTCAATGGTATTTAAGCACTGATATTCGATTAGTGTATAGCCTAATTTTGTATATTTGATTTTAATTTAATAAAGCCAATTTTTTTAAAGAAATGTACTTTACAAAAACAAAGGGGGGAGAATTAAGCGGGTGTTTGCATGCTAAGAGCTAATATAGAGGTTAATATAGTGCAAATAATACTTAAATTCCTTTTTTATTAATTCAATTGTTTTAAACATTTAAATCAGTAACAATAATTTATTTGATAGATTAATTTTTTTTGTAAATATTCATTTCTAATGTATATTTAAATATTTCCAAAAATGTATAAAAGAACATTTAAAAAATATGGTGATGTGTCTCTGATGTATAGTTTCAAAATAAAGCACTATTTTACTTTAAAAAAACAAAAAACATTGGAATCGACACAATGAACTGATTCCGCTGCTATGCCACAACCTCCCCACCCCCTAACTGTCCCTCGCGTTAAACTAAATACTTCAATCAAACAAAAACATTTTTATTCTCCACCTAGCAGACGCTTCACTACCCCGTGGTCTCTCACAAACCTTCCCCATCCCCCATAACGACCTTACCTTCACTCCACAGGATACAGTTTATCCTTTCGAGTTTTGTACATATCAAACCTAGTATCACCACATATATGTCATTATGTAAATATTCATTATGTACAGTTATAAAATCCCTCGATTTCATTTGATGTTTGACATTATGGCAAATGATATCGATGTTGATATATTTGTTTTATATTGAAAATAAAAGCATACATTTTTTTTTTAAAAAAAAGCTTGATAAGTCGTGGATTATGTGTTCCTTTAAATCTTCGAACTTAAATGCGACCAATTATTTTCATACTTTTTAGAGTACTACAAAAGTTTAAAAATATTTTGTTATTTGAGCGCGGTACTAGGAAAATGATCTTTCATCAATAATTTTTTCAATATTTTAGGCATCTCTCCAGAAAAAAAGGGGGGGGGGGAGAGCAGTGAGCCCCAGGGCTTGTCCACCGTCCCTCCCTCCTGATTATATAGAGAAAAAAATTTATATAGAACATATGTACTTTAATAAATGTACCCCCCCCCCCCCCCCCCTCCGGAAATTTAAGATGCCGCCCTGAGAAAAATATCTAAAAGAAACCATGCTTGCACCCCAGGATAAACCTCTATTTGCGTTGTCGCAATTTCACAGAGAGAAATCAAGCACTCTAACGTGTTTATTTTTTATTTCAGCTATTTGAGGCGTATGAAAAAGAAAGGGGGAACATTGGAACAGTTCGGTCCGTCAACGTTTACCCGTCTTTATGGCATAAAGGGCTACAACTCGTCAGAAAGATTTAGAGGTTGGTTTAAAGTATTTTAATTGTTTATTCGCAAAACATACTTGGTAAATGAGAGATTAGTTTTAAAGATTAAAACTAAGATGAAATAGTATAAGAATTCTATAAGAATTTTGTTTTATAATTTTTAGTATTCAACGAATCAATCGTTCTTTAAACCTTTAAAAATCAATCATTCCTTAATCTTTTATCAATCAATCATTCCTCACCTGCAAATATTCAATGAGTGCATACAACATACCTCGTTATGGTTTTTAAAAAAAAGATCTAGAGTTGCACAACAGTAGTTGAACAATGTAGAGCAGGGGTCGGCAACCAGCGGCTCGCGAGCCGCATGCGGCTCTTTTGATGTCAAGTTGCGGCTCTTCAGCTCCATGCACAAATATTAATACTTATTTTATTTTATTTCCAAAACTCATAAAAATATTAGTCTGCAACACTCTGTAATAAACGACATAACAATAGTTATAAACAATAAACATTCACCATTCTATTAGAATATTAATAGCTACCCCCTATCTCAGTGTACTTCCTATTACATTGTCCATTCCGAATTGAAATATTCAACTTCACAAAGAAACTAAACCAGCTAAGTGTAAAACTGAAAGGAAAACCCAGCCTATGTCTTGCTTGAAAAGGTTGTTTGTTTCGAAAAAAAATATGTTTGTTGAATACATGATGAGCGGTGAATTACTTCATTACGAAAAATCTGAAAAAAAAATATCGTTATGAAACCGATTCAATCACTTCAGCATTAATATAAACAAAATGAAGGGTGTTTTCACTGAGAGATTTGAACTATTCAAAACAAATGCAAGTACTCTGACTTACATAGTAGATCCTCTCAACACAAATTCAAATGAGATTATCTCATATATTCAAAGCTATTTATTTTAAATTATATATATATTATGATATTTGTTTAGGATTATATATATATATATATATATATATATATATATATATATATATATATATATATATATATATATATATATTTATATATATATATATATATATATATATAGTATGATATTTGTTTAGGATTATATATATACTAAACAAATATAACATTGACATAAAAATGTTAGTGGCTCTTTAAAAACCTGGTAATGTCGTAAATTGTAACTTTTGGCTCTTTCGTCTCAAAAGGTTGCCGACCCCTGATGTAGAGAAAAGAAACTATTTTGATTAGTGATCCAAATATTTAATGAGTGCTGTGTTGTTATCATATCTACTTGATATATCTTGGTAGTTTTGAATCATGTGTAATATTTTGGCTGTAAATGTTGTGTCATAATGGCGATTGGATGTGAATGCTGTAAATCTGATTGTTTTGCAATATTTGTGTGAGAAGAGTCACCTAATAGATATTCGCTAAATTTGTATGAACGTTTTCTTTTTCCTTTAAAATTATATATAGGGATACAAATGCCGTTTAGCAGAAAATAAAATGCTTAATAGATGTTATATGTAAAAATAAAATTGAAAATAAAAACATTAATAGAACACTAAAAAAAATAATTTAAAAAAGATACTACAGTAAATATATCCCAATACGTCATCTCTCTCTCTCTCTCTCTCTTTGTCTCTCTCTCTCTCTCTGTCTCTCTCTCTCTCTCTCTGTCTCTCTCTCTCTCTCTCTCTGTCCGCATTCCCGAGCCGAAGAGATCAGTATCTTCAGCGATAATGTGATGGCTGTCTTAAATGTACAAACTAAATTTAACTTAAATAAAGAAAAAAGTTTAAAGCAATATTCGAATGTAGGGGTCGACGACAAATTCCCGAAAGACACTTGCCCATAAGGCCGAATTCCCGAAAGGACACTTGCCCGAATGCGACAAATGCCCGAAAGGACACTTGCCCGAATGCGACAAATGCCCGAATGGACACTTACCCGAATGCGACAAACGCCCGAATGGACACTTGCCCGAATGCGACAAATGTCCGAAAACCGCTGACTTCTTAGCGACTAACAGTGTGTTGTGTTAACACGTGTGTTGTCTTAACACATGTGTGTTGTTTTTGCCGCAGGTATCAGCGTGTGTGCTCACAGTGCCTGCGACCATCTCTGCCTGCCGCAGGTCAACAACCTGTACACGTGCGTGTGTACAACAGGATACGTCCTGGTTGGTCAGTTCTGTAAACCAAGTAAGTGACCCATCCATCCATCCACCCATCCACCCATCCACCCATCCATCCATCCACCCACCCACCCATCCATCCATCCATCCATCCACACATTAACCTATCCATCCATCCACCCATCCACCCATCCGCCCATCCATCCACCCATCCATTCTTCCACCCATTTAACCACCCATCCACCCATCCACTCATCCACCAGTCTGGCATCACATGCTACATAAGGTTTCCATCACTGTTTTATTCTACCCCATACAATCCACACCACAATGCGGACTCCTCAGCTTTCAAAATATTTTAAATTAAAACAAAAACTGATTTGTTTATTTATAATTATACAAAATTTTCTTTTTTGTCGCCTGTCATGTCTCCTAGCTTAGTATTAACTTAACATTTTCAAGTGTTTTTAAATTGACATGAATGCGTATTCATTAATCTAAAAGAGCAAAAACTAAATGTGTATAAAATGTTCTTTAATTGAAAAAAGTTTTGTAGTCTAGAGATATTTTACGTCGTTGTCTATTTTACTTTTGATTATTCAGACGTTTAAGTAGGCGAAATCCTTCTCTAAACTACAAAAGAGCACTGGAAAATCTTACTCACCTTTAATGTCTTTCAGTCATAATAAACCTGCCAACAACGCCTACCACCACGGAGTCATCCACCACTTCACCGACCACTTCCTCCACAACATCGCCGACAGCAACAACCGTCCAGTCGACCTCGACCTTGACCTCCACCATCACGGGCCTGCCCACCACCATGTACACGGACTGCGAGGACACGACCTTCGAGATAGACACCATCATAACAACATCAGCAATAGACCACAACATTACAGGTGAGTCTTCTCAAATAAAATGTATGTATATACAATTCTGTGCAACCGATTACGATGTATATATATATATATATATATATATATATATATATATATATATATATATATATATATATATATAAATATATATATATATATATATATATATATATATATATATATATATAAATATATATATATTTTTTAACAAAGACAATATATATATATATATATATATATATATATATATATATATATATATATATATATATATATATTGTCTTTGTTAAAAATTTTATATACATGAACCTCTATCCATCTATATATACGTATATAAACGTGTATATATATATATTTATATATATAATTACTATATCTATTGTATAATTACTATACGATTTTGACAGATTCAAACGCAACATTCGGCAGTTCTACAGTAGAAAGTAAGTTTATATTTTGTAAAATCTGTTTGCCACATCGCGTATAGAGTGGACGTTTTAAATATACAATTTCCCATGATTCCATTTGTTGAAAGTCACAAAAAGTTTTTGCAATGATTCCGTTTGTTGAAAGTAACAAACAAACTTTCCGACGATTCTGTTTTTGCTAAAAACCACAAACATAATTTCCTATTATTCTGTGTTTGAAAATAGTTAACAACACATCTATTTCTGATTGTACAGAGTCCACGGGTTTATCAAGTTCTGTCATCACGGCGATTGTGTGTTCTGTGTTTCTAGCCGTGGCTGCCATAGCCTTGTCGGCAGCCTTTGTTAAAAGGTGAGTTCCCTTTTGAAACTTGGTTGGGGCAGGTGAAGTAGAGTTCACCTGTTTCTGTGACCTCGCTGCTGTTACCTGGTTGGGAGGTGAGTTTCCAATTTGAAACCTGGTGTTCCGCTGGGCAGGTGAAGTAGAGTGCACCTATTTCTGTGACCTCGGCTTATTGAGCGGGTAATAGGGCTGGTAAGTAGGTCACCAAACAGTTCTACTGCTCAATAAAACCTGCTTGAGCCATAGAACTGGTTGGTGACTTACTTACCTGCCCTATTGTGGTCAGCACTTTGTCCAGCCGCCTTTTACTTCCCCTAAAGAAAGTCAAATACCCATCAGAGTTGAGTGGACTGAAGGATATGCTTCGACTCTAGCCAAGGACCCGAACTCTAGACCTTTGGGTGAAGCAATGCCTCACCGATTTTGTTATTCCTATTTCATGACTATAAAAACAATTTTTTCCATACTTTTCTAATACCATAGGCTTCGCGTTTGTTTGTTGTTGTTGTTTTTTTCGCGCTTTCCAAAATCTTGTTCTGTGTACAATATACGTATTCGAATATAATTATTTTTTGGGTTAAATTTAGCTGTAAAATTATTACACAAATCTTAATACACATACAATAATCAAATTGAAAATTACCTCTAATACTCTACATACAGTTCCTCCACAGTTAAAACATAGGATCCGATCTAACACTTTTTACTCTAATTAAACTCACCATCAGTGATAACTTTGATTTGAAAAATTGATAACAGCATGCTTGCATTAACAGACGGCCATTTCGATCCTTATTTTCAGACACTACAGGTACAAAATTCAGCACCAGAAGCTAATCGAGGACCAACACCCCACCGACTTCTACAAAATTGCCTTCAACTCCCCGGGGGACGAGACTGTGACCTTTGACACGGGGATTGAGAACCCCGTCTACGACTGCCTGAACAACCCCAGCCACACAATTCCAGATTCTCACAACAGCAGCGCGTAATTTGTTTTCTAGCGCCTGAACGGTGTTAGCATATGTGACGTTTTTATTTCTGTAACAGCTTGGATAGGATCTCACAGATATGCGGTCTAAAGATGTACATTTCGGTGTTTGGCTCCTCAGTACTAGGTGCTTCTAACTTTGACTCAAATTAAATTCGAGTCATGTATACGAGTGGCAAAGGCAGGAATTTGTATTGGGATTAGCTTCTAAGAGAATGTTTCTCCTTGCGCCCATCTGGCTACACCTCTGCTTTGATTAAAGTTGGGTTATTTAAAATTGAAAAATACAAATGAGACTCCAGATACACAGTTGTTACACTAGACCGCGTCTGAATTGCTATTTCATTTAAAATAGATGCATATATATATATATATATATATATATAAATATATATATATATATATATATATATATATATATATATATATATATATATATATATATATATATTATATGCATCATACGTATAAAAACATAACAATTTACTGTAGATTGAAACTTTAAAATAACGCCTCGAATGTTCAAGCATCATGATGTAACTAAATTCACTAAACAGCAGCTAAAAGAACACCGGGTTAGATCAACTTTATTTAAACAGGAATTTTTATTGCCTTACAAAAACGAAATTTACCTTGAATATGAACAGTGATTAGCACATTCATTAAGGTCGAAACACTACGATCTTAACAAAAAAAAATATTTTCTCTTAAATATAACATTCAACTATTTTCAACTTGTTTTAACGACACCAAAAAAAAAAAAAAAACGAAAGCACTAAGGTGTATAACCTCAGAGATGATTCAACAATAACTAAATATTTCTATTTGCATTCAGTTGAGCCTTGTTGGTTTCGCCAGTCTACATAAGGTTTGCTTATGTTTCTCATAAACTAAGCAACCAAAGAGCTTAAATTTTTTTTTCTTTATCATTTTGTTTCGTTGGGTATGAGGTACACTATTTTAAAATTCTAAATATGAATAATGGTTTGTATGTTAAAATGGTGTGTGTAAAATATGACTTTGATGCTGAACTCTTATGTACGTTTTCAGTTTATGCTTTTCACTTTTAAATATGTAAATTTACTATAAATCATACAAGCATTATTCTAGAATTTAAAAATTCCTTGTATAAAGCATCTGTTTACTGTAAGCATTAATGTGTATATTGTGTTTTAGTGGCATTTTAATTACAGAGGCATTAATTAATGACGACAGCAATTCACCTCAAACATTATTCGTTTCGTGTCCTGTAAACTGAGTGTTGTGTTTTTTAAAATCTAAATCTTATTTCTCTTGGCCAGCTATTAATTTTATCTGCTTCATTGTTTATTAAAGTAATTAATCTGTTACAGTGTTCCTTGGTACACAAAAAAAAAATAGCTTGTTTAAAAGAAATTTTACTTTTATTAAAAATAAATATCTGAACACGTAGCTGGTGTGTTTCTTTTGGTTCAGTTTTTTTTTTTTTTTGGTGATTTGTAAGTTTTACGAGTCAGTGAAACGTAATCAATTTCAATAAAACAATGTTTGTGTGTGTGCGTGAGGGGGGGGGGGCGAAATGTGGGCATGAATGTTAAGTGAGGTGAAATAGTTGAGGGGGGGGGGGGCTGAATTGAGAAATGTATGAAAATAATCGTAAATCAAGTAGAAATATTCGAAAAGTAAGCGGAAACTTAAATTTAAAACCATAAATTGTAGTGAGAAATGTTAAAAAAATCCTGAGAAAACTTTGTGAGGGCAGTTTGAATTGTGGGGGGGGGGGACGTGTGTGATTGAAAGATGGTTGGTTTGGAGACGTCTGTGGTTAGTGTGAAATATGAGGACATTATTGGTGACATAAATGTGTGTGGTAGCCGTATAAAATATGTGTGGGGTAGAAGTGGGCGGAGTGTGGGAACAGAAGTTGTGTGGGAGAAGTGTGCGGAGTGTGGGGTAGAAAATTTATGGGATAAGTGTACGGAGTGTGGGGACAGAATTTGTGTGGGAGAAGTGTGCGGAGTGTGGGGACAGAAGTTGTGTGGGAGTAATGTGCGGAGTGTGGAGACAGAAGTTGTGTGGGAGCAATGTGCGGAGTGTGGGGACAAGTTGTGTGGGACAACATTGTGGAGTGTGGGGGCAGTTGTATGGGAGTAGTTTGGAGACAGTAGTTGTGTGGGGGTAATGTGCAGAGTGTGGGGACAGAAGGTGTGTGGGAGTATTGTGCGGAGTGTGGGGACAGAAGTTGTGTGGGAGAAGTGTGCGGAGTGTGGGGACAGAAGTTGAGTGGGAGAAGTGTGCGGAGTGTGGGGACAGAAGTTGAGTGGGAGGAGTGTGGGGACAGAAGTTGTGTGGGAGTATTGTGCGGAGTGTGGGGACAGAATTTGTGTGGGAGTATTGTGCGGAGTGTGAGGACAGAAGTTGTGTGAAAATACGTTGCGGGGCCAGTGCTTGTTGATGTCCTGTCATCCGATGCTGTTGGAGCGTCAGGTTCAAAACCTGCGAACACCAGAGAGATGTTTAATTAGGATGACTAATTGGGTTCACTAATTACCCTTAGTACCAGACCCGCTAGTCCAGCCAGCACCCAAGACATCACCACTCGGCCCCAACAGACGTGTAATTATGGCGTCTTTTTGCCTTAACTTAAGGAATACTCTTGGTAACCAAATGTCATCACTTTCTGTTTTCTTTACGGCGAGCTACTGGCAAAGAAAGGGAATATCAGCTAACTGCTCCTTAAAGACATGAGTTATTTTAGTGATCAGAGGCGTCGCTTTGACAGTTCTACCCTTTAAGGAAACTAGGAGTGACCCCTTTTTCCAGTACATTTTTATAAAAAAATATTTTATTAGTATCTGATGTCATACAGCGATTATTTCAAAATAAGTAGTAATTACACTGGAGAGACTAAAGAGATTTTTTTTATAAATATGAGACAAACACAGAATAAAAAATGTAAACAAAATTAAACTTAGCATTGATTTTAAACAATAAAATAATAGAATTATTGATATTTCATTTTATGATTAAGTTTTCAACTTAAAATATTGCTTTAACGTAATAAAAACTTTCGTTTTAAAATTATAAAATAAAATAGCTAAAACACGAAATTCCATTTCTGTATCAATGATTTTATTTTTTTTAAATGTTATATCCATACGATTACTGCTATACGTTGAATCATTGCGGGGATCGAAATATGTATTTTAAAGTTGTTAGATTAGACAGCCCTACTGTACACTACTTAGGAAGTAGTTGCAGGTGTTCTTTTAAAAACAACATTTTAAACGTAGGTGTCATTTGAACACCTAAAAAACCAGATGTACAAAAATAGACTTCGGGGTAGCTATTTAACTCAAGGTGTTATCTTAACACCCAAAGAAATGTTCAAAAACTAAAGGTGTTATCTTAACACCCAAAGAAATGTTCAAAAATAGCCTCAGGGGTAATTCTTGAGTGTCAATTAGTGCAGTACCTCCCACTCCTCATTAAAAACGCCACCGACCAGAGGTCCTAAATTTGCAGTATAAAAGAGAGACTTCAAGCGATCTGGAGCATTTAGTTCAAGTAGTTGGGGCCGCAGTGTGGAACTGGAGGCACCTGAAGAAATTTAACACAAGTACATCTGTTAGGAACTTGTAAAAAGTCTTCTTAAGGTCTAACGCAATGTAAGTATCTGGTTTAAATCTTCAGAAACCAGCAACAAAAAAAGTATTCTATTTAAATATTCATAAAGTATGAAACAATGTAAGTATTTGATTTAAATATTTATAATCTACAGCAATGTAAGTATTCGATTTAAATCTTCAGAAAGCCTAAAACAAATATTCGATTTAAAACTTTATAAAGTCTAAAACAATGTAAATATTTGATTTGAATATTCATAATCTAAAGCAATGTAAGTATCTGATTTAAATCTTCAGAAAATCTAAAACAATTATTCGATTTAAATCTTCAGAAAGTCTAAAAGAAATATTCGATTTAAATCTTTATAAAGTCTAAAACAATGTAAATATTTGATTTAAATATTCATAATATTCTAAAGCAATGTAAGTATTCGATTTAAATATTCATAATCTAAAGTTCTAAAGCAATATAATTATCTGATTTAAATATTCATAATCTGAAGCAATATAAGCATTTGATTTAAATATTCACAATCTAAAGCAATCTAAGTATTAGATTTAAATATTAATAATCTAAAGCAATGTAAGTATTTGATTTAAATATTCATAAGGTGAGGGAGTGGGATTATAAAAGTCGAATGTCTGTAAAGGTAATATTTTCTTTATTTGTCTCGGTAAGTCAATATGGTAGTTTGCATGTCTAATAAGTGCGATATTTTATATTTAATGGGCGAACTGAGAATATTCTCGAAATTATTTGAAAGACCCATTAAATAATTTTTAAATCATGTACGATGTTATTAAAATAAATATGATTATAAAAATCTGACTTTTTTGCTGGATTTTACTGAAGATAGTTGTAGGCCTATTTGATGTTTTTAATATTTGGTAACTGTAAGATTGAAACGAAAGCCAAAAGCGATTTGGTTGTTTACGTTTAGTCACATAAAAGGTACACACACACGGCATAGCTATTTCATGTGGTTTTAAAAAAATATAATTTTGTTAAAAAATTGTATCGGCAAAGTTTTGAATTCAAAGTACTGGAAAGTGGGTTTTCAGAAGATCGATCACGGAATTTCTGTATAGCCAATCAATACTTGTCTTACTAAAGTGAAAATTCAGGTTAGAATTTAATTTAGGCTTACTGAAAAAAAAGAAGAAACGAGGCCTTAAACACACAAAAGTATTTTCAAGTCCTCTACATTTTCATCTTTTATATAATTGATTCTTAAAATGTTTAATTTTTAAATTTTTTTTTGCTCCAGGTCTAAAAGCTGGTTCTCACACTGTGTCTGCATAGTCAACCTGATAGCAACCGTTACCATCACCATCACTCCAGTCCACGGCAGCTGCTACAAGGCAGAGATGGAATCAGATGTGCAAATGCCAGGGTAACTACCTACAGTTCATATCCCAATAAATAGCTCACTATAAAAGTAATTAATAATGTATCTTACGGCCCTGTTGTGTACATAGTAATGGTGAATTACTATGTACACTAAGGTTGTACATTAAATAAAGAAGATTTCCATGTCGAAAACTTACCCGGATCATTTACCTTGGGAAAATATTCATAACGAGAAGGCGGGACCTAGCGGTACAGCGCTAGACTGCTAACCCGAAAGTCTCAAGTTCGAATTCTGTTTCAAGTCTGATGGGTCGCAGACTCACGTTGGGGATTGCAAAGGCGGGTGGGCATATAGTTGACCATACTATATCTTCATATGTCGAGGCAAAAGAAACATGTAAACTCTACTGTACTTGCCCCATGGACCGTCAGGTTAGAAAACTGAACTTTACTTTTACTTATTCATAGTCCAAGTACAATGGCGGACTAGATGTTATTAACATTTTGCTATGCAATGGTTCCAATGAACTGATGATAATGATGATGATGATGATGCTGATGTTAATGATGATGATGATGATGACATATTTAGAGTGAAGTTAGCATCTTTTGTGTTTGTGTGTGTTGGGGGGTGATGGAATACGCATTAAGGATATTTATGTAAATGTACTTCCTAGACTCGAGACTTGAACTCAACTCAAAGAGCTGACTATTGCATTAGCTTAAAAACACGACCACTAAGTTCATATCTCAAGAAAACAATAATCAAAACAGGTTTTTGATTTGAAATCACCACCAGCTGTTTTAAGACAACTCAATCATCTAATGTTCTGTTCCAGATTTTACTCGCAAAGGATGAGATACAATGTATGCGTGGACAATACAACAATATACCCAAGAATCGCGGAGACGCCCCAAAGGTATGTCAGCTTTCAATGGTTCCATTTCAGCAGGTGAAACAAGTTTTAGTTTACACGGTGCGTTTATCATTGAGTTTCCTTCGGTACATTTAGGAATATTTGCATGCCTCGTGTCGTTTGATATCTGGCTTTTATACTCTGAGATCGGAGAACAACCGACACTTAAGTCCGGCATTATAACATATATATCGGCCATATAACCATTGATCCTTCTTGAACTAACACCAATAGTCAGCTGGCTAGTTTTTTTATAACAGAAAACACTCTAGAAATATTTTTTGTGAATTTTCAAAATTTGGTATGGCGAATTTCCATTGAAATTAATGCTAAATTTAACGGTATTTAACTGTATTTCACCATAACAAAATTCCAAGATGGCCGCCGTTCCCATGACAATCATATTTTTAGAAGAGTCCCTGGTGCATGCAAATATTTTCCTTAAGTACCCAAACTTATAAATACACAAACAAATTTTTTAAAAAGGCTTATTAATTAAAAAGTTATTTTTCCTGTTTTTTTTTCCGGAGCTTACCCCCTTAAGTACGGCATTAGAACCTAAAGAGGGACGGCATGGTCAGGTGGGTTAGCGTATGATTTTTAGCTCCAAAGGTCCATAGTTCGTCTCCCTGGTTGATGCGACAGTTAGCAGGGTGGAGCGAACCACCCAGGAGAGAAAAAAGTCCAAATTTAAACAACTGATGCCTTGTAGGTTATTCTTAGGAGGACAAAGGCTATGGAAGCAAATCTAAAACGTAAATTGTGTTGGAGTGAATCCCGTTCAATTTAAGAATTAAGAGTGAAGAATAAGATACTGCAGGCTCATAAAACTTAACAGTAGAGATAGATGTATCGGAAAAGATTTTAGAAGACAATAGTAAGCTCTACTTTGGAGTACTACAACGTAGATTCGGGAAACGCATGCAGATATAGTTCATTTTAAGAAATAGATCAACTCTAAGGTTCGTCAAGTCTGTAGAACCTACTCGTTATTTATTGTATAATTTTTTTGCAAAATTCTCCGAGCTACATAGAATCTAAATATATAACTCCTTCCAACATTGAACATATTTGAAGTTATTATTAATATTGTATAACATGCCATATTATACCGTTTCAATATATTTCTTTTTGCAATATTCGATAGGAATCTTGTCCAGATTATTCCCGTCAAACCGTTTGCCCCTGCCACCCCCCCCCCCAAAAAATAGGATATGAAACTTGTACTTTTAGATTTCATTGAAAAGGGTAAACTAGAAGATATCGTTAATCATTTGCATGAAAAGGTCTGTATTTTTTGCTTTTAACCCTAACCTTTATGGTTGCTTGCCTGCAATTTAATTGGAGCTGGCAGCCTGGCGGGCATAAGTTTCACGTGTCCCCTTTTTTGCATAGTGGCGGGGCATCTCTGGACAAGACCATAAGTAGTATAAGGTTTTGATTTATATCATTTTTCGAAACATAATGCAGCATTCAATTTTTATATATTTCTATTTGCAACACACAAAAGCAAACAATTTATATATATATATATATATATATATATATATATATATATATATATATATATATATATATATATATATATATATATATATATATATATATATATATATTTATTTATTTATTTATATATATATATATATATATATATATATATATATATATATATATATATATATATATATATATATATATATATATATATATATGCTTTTCTTTGCCAGCACGGTGTATTTTGAACGAGACTGTTGTGGTTGTCGCGTATCTGGTTTTGTGGATACGGAGGTAACTATACACATGGTAACATAAAGGATACACTATATTTAAAAATTATATATCACTAACAGAGCGCCTTAGCTGCGCGCGGGTTGCGGTAGTACGTCCCATGTGCATACGTCGCATTGCTATGGATCTTCCTTTAGTGCAGGGGTCTCCAAACTACGGCCCGCGGGCCGGATGCGGCCCGCGAGGTCCTTTCATCCGGCCCGCGGAGATCTTTTTGTTCACGGAAAAAAATGTTTGTTAGAAGGGGCTGAGGTACTTTGCTCAGAAAATTCAAAACAATTTGAAAATCTAGCTTTGGGTATAAATACCTTTGCTCTCCGTGTTGCAAACATTGATGAAAACATCAAAGGCAGAAGAAGTGAGACTGCTTCAAAATCCATTTGAAGCAAATGTAACCAGTTGCCCAGATGAACTGCAGATGGAGGTCATTGAATTGCAAGCAAATGACCTCCTAAGAGACAAGTTAAAAAAATGGCGGGTGGGTTTTTGTGTTTGCCCAAGGAGAACAAACTTAGATCTTGAGTGTGTTGTCAGCCGGACAGTGTTTCTTTCAGACTTTTTCTCCTGAAAGGGGGGGGGGGAGGTTGCATTTAAAATGTGTTTATATTTCTATATAAATTCTATTTCTTGGGGGGGGGGGGGGGGCACGGTGGACACAGCCACCCCAAAGCAGTGTTTCTTCCAGACTTTTTTCTCCGGGGGGGGGCACTTGAAATTTTCGGGGGGGGGGGGGAGGGCGATAGACTTTCTTCGGGGGGGGGGGGGGGGCGGACACTGTTAAAAGTATATATTTTCTATATAAATTATATAAATTTCATTTCGTTCGGGGGGGGGGGGGGGGCGGTAAAAGAATTTCGGGGGGGCTAAGCCCCCCCCCCCCCCACGAAGAGATGCCTGGAAGAAACTCTGCCCCAAAGTATGCATGGAAGAAACTCTACTCTGGCCCGCGAACTGATTTTTGATAGTTAAAGCGGCCCTCGGACTGAAAAGTTTGGAGACCCCTGCTTTAGTGTATCTATTTGTAATTTCTTTTTATTGGGAAACAAAGTTTTTAAAAACCTCTTAATTTCACTGGTGACCCGTCAAAAGAGCGCACGACAAAAGAGCGCCGACATAAGAGCGCAGACAAAAGAGCGCCGACATAAGAGCGCAGACAAAAGAGCGCCGACATAAGAGCGCCGACATAAGAGCGCAGTCAATTAAAAAAACACATGTTATACGCTAAACGAATATGACATGGTTAACACTTGTTTTAATTAAACAATCGGCGAGAGAACAACGTCTTTATTTATATATTATGTTTAATATGACATGAATGCAGTTTGACAACATTTCTAGCCCAAGTAACATGGAGAAGATCGAATCACAGAAAGGGAAGGTTATTATATTGGTTGAAGGCTACAGATAGAGAAAGGACAGAGCAAATGCTGATGGAAGTACGACATGGTGATGCTGCAAGAAAGATGGCTGCCGAGGACAGATGAAAATTCTGAACGATGTTGTTTATGGTTTTTCGATTTTTAGTTTGCGCTCTTATGTCGGCGCTCTTGTGTCGGGAAATTAGTGCGCTCTTATGTCGGCGCTCTTTTGTCTGCGCTCTTTTGACGGGGTGCCAATTTCACCAAATCTGAATTAGAGTCATAATAATTACAAGGAGGTTTCTTTCGAGCCATTCATTTGCTTTGAAATTTCTCTGTCTACTTTCTCAGTGGAAAAGTCTATTTTTCGCTTATGTTCACTAAATAAATAATCGATTATAGTGTTGGAACCCAATAGCAACAACAAACACTTATTCACATTAGGTAGACAAAGCTGGATGGGCTAAGTGCTAACTACATTATCCCTATGTATGACGAGGTCATTGAAACAGATGAACTCTATTTCATCTGCATCAAGTGTCTTGGAAAAGTTGATGAGTTGCTGTTATTTGAAAATAATTTTCAAAAGAGAATGGTTTAACCTAGAATTTTCTAATAATATAAAATGATAGTGCTCTGATAATAAACTCTGTCTCTTGTCTCACCTAGGTCCAGCTGTTGAGTTTATCCCCACCCTAAACTTTGCCTTTTGCCTCACATAGGTCCAGCTGTTGACCTTGACCTCACCATCTCGCTACGAGACTGTGTTTATCCCCAACATCCAGTTCTGCGAGTGCATACCGTGCAACAACCGGCTCTACAGTTGGACCAACTACTTCAACTCGCTACCTAACATCATCTAGCACGGAACTTTGAAAATCGGGAATTCAAGTGTGATAATAATAGTTTAACAATCGGGAATTTAAGTGTGATAATAATAGAACGTTTTCATCTAACTATACTGCAATAAAGTTGAACTATTCAATTCACTACCTAACATTATCTAGCACGGAACTTTAACAATCGGGAATTCAAGTGTGATAATAATAGAATGTTTTCATCTAACTATACTGCAATAAAGTTGAACTACTTCAAGTATCTTTCATTAACTTAGAAAAACAGAACTGGATTTGAAAAAAAAAATCTGGTGTATTTAGAATTTTTTTAAATAAATTACAGAAACTTTAAGTAAATTAAATAAATGTTATCCAAAATATATTTTGTTATGTTTTGTGTGAATCCTAATTGCTAATAATTATGTTCTCATGTTTTAAACATATATTACATCTACAAGCATAACAATATTCTGCATAATTATAATAATTATAAAAAAAACTGTAGTAAGAATCTGAAGGTCTGATTACCGCGAGATATCTCAAGCAGTGATTAGGGGTTATAACCCCTACCATGGACTCACAAACCTATATATATATATATATATATATATATATATATATATATATATATATATATATATATATATATATATATATATATATGATTTTATACATATGGAAAAATATTTGAACCCGTCCCATGGCCAATTCCTGGCTACGCCACTGATCTCAAGAATTTACAGGTTGTATATAAATTAAGACAGTTTCAGCGATAAGACTATAACACAGATTATGAGAAGCGATTTGATCATTGACATGTGGAGTGTGTGTTCATGGATATGTGGAGAAGAAGAATGTGTGAATTATGATTATTTTCATGTAGAATCTAGTTTGCAATAAACATGAGACGTGATATATAAAACCTGATTGATGTGAGACGCGATTGTGGGTTTTTTTATTCCCCCCCCCCCCCCACACACACACACAAGCTAAGCAAACGGATATCTGTACTTTTTAACTTGCAATATAAAACAGTGAATATTTAAAAACTTTATGCTTGGAATATTGGGGTATCGGGGTGTGGTGTGTGGGCCGATTGTGAGGGGTATAGTGTGAGCGTTTGTGGGGTGGCTCGTTATGTGTGTGGTGTTGGGTGGTGTGGGGCGTGAATCGGATAGTCGCTGTGGTCTAAACGTTTTATATATATTATAATGCAGAACATATAATGCAAAATGACGCCCCAATTCTCCTTCGCGCCCCGAAACGTCGGCATCATTTAAAATTTAAAACATTACATTTCTTTTTATTACAAGATTACATCTTATTTTTAAAAAAAAACAGGACTATAGATCTACCTAAATAGGTACGCGATTGACAACCATGAAGAAATGTAGTATGAGTGCTGGAAAGCTGTGGCATATGGTTATGTATATATGCAGTAACTGATCCTTGTGATGTGGCGTGTTTGATTATGGATATGTAGACTATAGCCTCACCCTACCTTAAATTACCTCACCATACCTTAAATTACCGCACTTTACCTTAAATTACCGCACTTTACCTTAAATTACCTCACTTTACCTTAAATTACCTCACTTTACCTTAAGTTAAATCACTTTACCTTAAATTACCTCAACTCATCTCACATTCCTTACAATACCCTACCCTACCCTACCCAACTCTACTCTACCCTACCCTACCCTACCCTACCCTCGCCTCACCTCACCTCCCCTCCCCTCCCCTACCCTACCCTACCCTACCCAATACCCAATACCCAATACTTAATACTCAATACCCAATACCCAATACCCAATACCCAATACCCAATACCCAATACCCAATACCCAATACCCAATACCCAACACCCAACACCCAACACCCAACACCCAACACCCAACACCCAACACCCAACACCCAACACCCAACACCCAACACCCAATACCCAACACCCAATACCCAATACCCAATACCCAATACCCAACACCCAATACCCAATACCCAATACCCAACACCCAACACCCAACACCCAATACCCAATACCCAATACCCAATACCCAACACCCAACACCCAACACCCAATACCCAATACCCAATACCCAATACCCAACACCCAACACCCAACACCCAATACCCAATACCCAATACCCAATACCCAATACCCAATACCCAATACCCAATACCCAATACCCAATACCCAATACCCAATACCCAATACCCAATACCCAATACCCAATACCCAACACCCAATACCCAATACCCAATACCCAATACCGAATACTCTACCCTACCCTACCCTAAATTACTAAAGTGCTGAGCTCTGCTCTATACTATTACCCCCGTCCTTCTCTATGTCTTGTGTATTGGGTTGTTATTGTGTGGGAGCTGGGTATGCTTTGTTGTGTGGGAGCTGGGTATGTGTTGTTGTGTGGGAGCTGGGTATGCTTTGTTGTGTGGGAGCTGGGTATGTGTTGTTGTGTGGGAGCTGGGTATGCGTTGTTGTGTGGCAGCTGGGTATGTGTTGTTGTGTGGGAGCTGGGTATGCTTTGTTGTGTGGGAGCTGGGTATGTGTTGTTGTGTGGGAGCTGGGTATGCTTTGTTGTGTGGGAGCTGGGTATGTGTTGTTGTGTGGGAGCTGGGTATGCGTTATTGTGTGGGAGCTGGGTATGCGTTGTTGTGTGGGAGCTGGGTATGCGTTGTGTGGGAGCTGGGTATGCGTTGTTGTGTGGGAGCTGGGTATGCGTTGTTGTGTGGGAGCTGGGTATGTATTGTTGTGTGGGAGCTGGGTATGTGTTTTTGTGTGGGAGCTGGGTATGCGTTGTGTGGGAGCTGTGTATGTGTTGTTGTGTGGGAGCTGGGTATGTGTTGTTGTGTGGGAGCTGGGTATGCGTTTTTTTGTGGGAGCTGGGTATGCGTTGTTGTGTGGGAGCTGGGTATGTGTTGTTTTGTGGGAGCTGGATATGCTTTGTTGTGTGGGAGCTGGGTATGCGTTGTGTGGGAGCTGGGTATGCGTTATTGTGTGGGAGCTGGGTATGCGTTGTTGTGTGATGTTTGGAGTGTGGTAAGTGAGGTGTGAGGATTGTGTCTGTAGGTGTGTGGTATTTTACGTCTTTGTTGTGTAGTTTTTTAGGTTCTTAAAAGGGTTCTTAAAAAGTTGTGGTGCTGATGTTTCCATTTTCGTGGAATGGTGTGGAGGTTGAGCCAGTTTGGATATTTTATATTAACGTTTACGCCAGACATGGAAATTACAAATGGGTGAGAAAAATATGAGAACAAAGCACCTAGTCTGGGCTGTGATAGAGTTTGTCATTATCCGTTATGGAACAGTTACAACAATTATGTCTGTAATATACATGACAGTACACGCGGGCATACTCACACATAAACACATACACTCATACATATATCTTCATATGCACCCATACACAGCTACACACACACACACCAACACATACAACCATGCCATTAGGGATTGTGGTCATTCATTAATACAATTTTATTATATAGGGGAAACAACCTCTAGTTATGATCACAAAAGATGTTACATCTTGAAAGGAACTGATTATTAATTTATATTTATAAATTATTCTTTATATAATTTAATTTTATGCAATTAGGTAATTATATATTATTATATTCATGTCCACAATAAATATATTGTCGGTTAATTAATTTTATTTAATTAATAAGTTTCAATTAGAAACAGTAGTTCCGTTATATTTTATAGTATTAATAGATGTTTCTAATTGTTTTTAATTTCATTGCGAATTCAGCAAATACAAAATATTTTAATTATAACATCGTATAACCTCAAAAATACTTGTGTACTTTGCTTTAGATAAAACAACCGAAATTTTACACTTAGGGAATACATTGTTTTATTTAAATAAAATTTTAAAAATGTTAAAAAAAAAAAAATATCGTATAACCTCAAAAATTGACATGTGTAGTGCAGGGGTCGGCAACCTGCGGCTCGCGAGCTGCATGCGGCTCTTTTGATATCAAGATGCGGCTCTCCAGCTCCTTGCACAAATACTAATAATCTTAATAAAAAAATAAAATATTTGAAATAAAAAAATGTTAGTGGCTCTTTAAAACCAGGGAAATTTTGAAAATTGTAACTTTTGGCTCTTCCGTCCCAAAAGGTTGCCGACCCCTGGTGTAGTGTGTTGTCATTGACATGTGGAGTGTGCTGTCATTGACATGCGTAGTGTGTTGTCAATGACATGTGAAGTGTGTTGTCATTTACATGCGTAGTGTGTTGTCATTGACATCTTGAGTGTGTTGTCATTGACATGCGTAGTGTGTTGTCATTGACATCTTGAGTGTGTTGTCATTGACATGTGGAGTGTGCTGTCATTGACATCTTGAGTGTGTTGTCATTGACATGTGGAGTGTGTTGTCATTGACATGTGGAGTGTGTTGTCATTGACGTGTGAAGAAGAAGAATGTGTGAACTATGAATATTTTAATGTAGAATCTAGTTTGCAATAAAGTGATAAGATAAGCATGTTTCTAGTAATTTTAACAATTGAATGCATTCTATTCAATGATCTAAAACATGACACTTAATCTATAAGACTTGATTGATGTGAAACAAGATCGTGGCAACGCTTTTTTATCCCCCCCCCCCCCCCCACAAGCTAAGCAAAACTGAATTCTATTCTTTTTAACTATCATATATAAAACATTGAATATTTAAAACTTTTAGCTTGGAATATTGGGGTATCGGGATGTGGTGTGTTGGCCGATTGTGCGGGGTATAGTGTGAGCGTCTGTGGGGTGGCTCGTTATGTGTGTGGTGTAGGCTGGTGTGGGGCGTGGATCGGATAGTCGCTGTAGTATGAAAGTTTTCGGGTTGAGGTATATAAAGATGTATATTATTCCCCAAATAGGTACTCGCATGATGTTGACTATATATATATATATATATATATATATATATATATATATATATATATATATATATATATATATATGTTTATATATATTATAATGCAGAACATAAATTGCAAAATGACGCCCCGCTTCTTCTTCGCGCCCCCAAACATCGGCAGCATTTTAAAACATTACATTTTACTTGATTACAAGATTACATATTATTTTTAAAAAACAGGACTATAGATCTTGCTAAATATGTGCGTGATTGACAACCATGAAGAAATGAAGTATGTGTGCTGTAAAGCTGTGGCATATGGTTATGTATATGTGCAGTTACTGATCTTCGTGATGTGGCGAGTTTGATTATGGATATGTAGACTATAACCTCACCATATCTTAAATTACATCAAATTACCTTAAATTAACTCACCTCATCTCACATTTCTCACAATACCCTAC